ACATAGAACCCTCCTGTTGCTCCTGTTGCTGCTGCTGCTCTTCCTCCCGAGGCTGAAAACGCACCCTCCCGGACGGGGAAACACAGTGGCCCTGAAGGACGGAACAGCGCCAAAATCGAGCCCAAAAAGTGCCTAACGCCCCTTCTGAAACCCTAGAAAAGCAATAGTTTTGGACAAGGTTTTATGGTTTTCAACCAATTTTTATACCATTGTTTGTACAATGAGACATAGAACCCTCCTGTTGCTCCTGTTGCTGCTGCTGCTCTTCCTCCCGAGGCTGAAAACGCACCCTCCCGGACGGGGAAACACAGTGGCCCTGAAGGACAGAACAGCGCCAAAATCGAGCCCAAAAAGTGCCTAACGTCCCTTCTGAAACCCTAGAAAAACAATAGTTTTGGACAAGGTTTTATAGTTTTATAGTTTTCGACCAATTTTTATACCACTGTTTGTACAATGAGACATAGAACCCTCGTGTTTTTTATAGTTTTCAACCAATTTTTATACCACTGTTTGTACAATGAGACATAGAACCCTCCTGTTGCTCCTGTTGCTGCTGCTGCTCTTCCTCCCGAGGCTGAAAATGCACCCTCCCGGACGGGGAAACACAGTGGCCCTGAAGGACGGAACAGCGCCAAAATCGAACCCAAAAAGTGCCTAACGTCCCTTCTGAAACCCTAGAAAAACAATAGTTTTGGACAAGGTTTTATAATTTTCAACGAATTTTTATACCACTGTTTGTACATAGTTTTCAACCAAATTTTTTGCCACTATTTGTACAATGAGACATAGAACCCTCCTGTTGCTCCTGTTGCTGCTGCTGCTCTTCCTCCCGAGGCTGAAAACGCACCCTCCCGGACGGGGAAACACAGTGGCCCTGAAGGACGGAACAGCGCCAAAATCGAGCCCAAAAAGTGCCTAACGTCCCTTCTGAAACCCTAGAAAAACAATAGTTTTAGACAAGGTTTTATAGTTTTCGACCAATTTTTATACCACTGTTTGTACAATGAAACATAGAACCCTCCTGTTGCTCCTGTTGCTGCTGCTGCTCTTCCTCCCGAGGCTGAAAACGCACCCTTCCGGACGGGGAAACACAGTGGCCCTGAAGGACGGAACAGCGCCAAAATCGAGCCCAAAAAGTGCCTAACGTCCCTTCTGAAACCCTAGAAAAACAATAGTTTTGGACAAGGTTTTATTATAGTTTTCAACCAATTTTTATACCACTGTTTGTACAATGAGACATAGAACCCTCCTGTTGCTCCTGTTGCTGCTGCTGCTCTTCCTCCCGAAGCTGAAAACGCACCCTCCCGGACGGGGAAACACAGTGGCCCTGAAGGACGGAACAGCGCCAAAATCGAGCCCAAAAAGTGCCTAACGTCCCTTCTGAAACCCTAGAAAAACAATAGTTTTGGACAAGTTTTTATAGTTTTCAACGAATTTTTATACCACTGTTTGTACAATGAGACATAGAACCCTCCTGTTGCTCCTGTTGCTGCTGCTGCTCTTCCTCCCGAGGCTGAAAACGCACCCTCCCGGACGGGGAAACACAGTGGCCCTGAAGGACGGAACAGCCCCAAAATCGAGCCCAAAAAGTGCCTAACGTCCCTTCTGAAACCCTAGAAAAACAATAGTTTTGGACAAGGTTTTATAGTTTTATAGTTTTCGACCAATTTTTATACCACTGTTTGTACAATGAGGCATAGAACCCTCCTGTTTTTTATAGTTTTCAACCAATTTTTATACCACTGTTTGTAGAATGAGACATAGAACCCTCCTGTTGCTCCTGTTGCTGCTGCTGCTCTTCCTCCCGAGGCTGAAAACGCACCCTCCCGGACGGGGAAACACAGTGGCCCTGAAGGACGGAACAGCGCCAAAATCGAACCCAAAAAGTGCCTAACGTCCCTTCTGAAACCCTAGAAAAACAATAGTTTTGGACAAGGTTTTATAGTTTTCAACGAATTTTTATACCACTGTTTGTACATAGTTTTCAACCAATTTTTATACCACTGTTTGTACAATGAGACATAGAACCCTCCTGTTGCTCCTGTTGCTGCTGCTGCTCTTCCTCCCGAAGCTGAAAACGCACCCTCCCGGACGGGGAAACACAGTGGCCCTGAAGGACGGAACAGCGCCAAAATCGAGCCCAAAAAGTGCCTAAGGTCCCTTCTGAAACCCTAGAAAAACAATAGTTTTAGACAAGGATTTATAGTTTTCGACCAATTTTTATACCACTGTTTGTACAATGAAACATAGAACCCTCCTGTTGCTCCTGTTGCTGCTGCTGCTCTTCCTCCCGAGGCTGAAAACGCACCCTCCCGGACGGGGAAACACAGTGGCCCTGAAGGACGGAACAGCGCCAAAATCGAGGCCAAAAAGTGCCTAACGTCCCTTCTGAACCCTAGAAAAACAATAGTTTTGGACAAGGTTTTATGGTTTTCGACCAATTTTTATACCACTGTTTGTACAATGAGACATAGAACCCTCCTGTTGCTCCTGTTGCTGCTGCTGCTCTTCCTCCCGAGGCTGAAAACGCACCCTCCCGGACGGGGAAACGCAGTGGCCCTGAAGGACGGAACAGCGCCAAAATCGAGCCCAGAAAGTGCCTAACGTCCCTTCTGAAACCCTAGAAAAACAATAGTTTTGGACAAGGTTTTATAGTTTTCAACCAATTTTTATACCACTGTTTGTACAATGAGACATAGAACCCTCCTGTTGCTCCTGTTGTTGCTGCTGCTCTTCCTCCGGAGGCTCAAAACCATAGAACCCTCCTGCTGCTCCTGTTGCTGCTACTCTTCCGTGTCTAACGTCGCTTCTGAAACCCATAGAAGTCTCTAACGTCGCTTCTGAAACCAATAGAACATGAGGATTTTAGCTACTTTTGTCTTCTGCTGCTGAAGAAGTGCTGCTCACCCACAAAGACGCCCTCGAACGAACAAATCAGGGCGGGAAGGGCAACCCAAGGAGCCCCACGTACCTCGAGGAGACTCCGGGAAGGACCCCCCACCGGTAAAACAAAAACCCCGGAGTCAATGAATCAACGTACGTGACCGGTGGGAGGGGGACCCAACAGGGTCCCCCGGCAAAGGGTCATTGTCATTGTTGTTGTTGTTGTTGTTGTTGTTGTTCTTGTTCTTGTTCTTGTTGTTGTTGTTGTTGTTGTTGTTGGCCTCGAACGAACAAATCAGGGCGGGAAGGGCAACCCAAGGAGCCCCACGTACCTCGAGGAGACTCCGGGAAGGACCCCCCACCGGTAAAACAAAAACCCCGGAGTCAATGAATCGACGTACGTGACCGGTGGGAGGGGGACCCAACAGGGTCCCCCGGCAAAGGGTCATTGTAATTGTTGTTGTTGTTGTTGTTGTTGTTGTTGTTGTTGTTGTTGTTGTTGTTGTTGTTGTTGTTGTTGTTGTTGTTCTTGTTCTTGTTCTTGTTCTTGTTGTTGTTGTTGTTGTTGTTGTTGTTGTTGTTGTTGTTCTTGTTCTTGTTCTTGTTCTTGTTCTTTGTTGTTGTTGTTGTTGTTGTTGTTGTTGTTGTTGTTGTTGTTGTTCTTGTTGTTGTTCTTGTTGTTGTTCTTGTTGTTGTTGTTCTTGTTGTTGTTGTTGTTGTTGTTGTTGTTGTTGTTGTTGTTGTTGTTCTTGCTGCCTGCTGCTGCCTGCTGCTGCCTGGTAGTAAAAGTGGCAGTGCAGCACCTCTTCTTCCCTTACGCGCTCCCCCTTGCATCGGCCGGGGTCAGCGAATTATTATTATTCTTTCCTGGCAGCTGTGTCATAAACTCTTTTTCCCTTACGCACTCCCCCTTGCGTCTGCCGGGGTCGGCGGATATATATATATATATAATATATATATATATATCCCGGAGTATATATATATATATACATATTGTTGCAATTGTATCTCAATTCCCTTATGACATGCCTTCCCCGGGCAGGACTGGTTGTGGACACAGATCGGAGGCAACGCAGCTGGTCCGAAATTCCAATGGTTTGTGATAACATGTCCCGTTTCATAAAACAGCAATTACTGTAATTCCTGCAATTACTCTGCATTTGTTGCAGGTCAGAGAGCAACTTTGATTTTGATGTGAAGATGGAAGGCAGCTGGGCATGAAATCTTGGAGCCAGTGAATGGCAAGAGAAAGCCATTGACCTGATACTGCATAGATTGTATACCTTGATTCTTCACATTCACACTCGCAATATGTCAACACATCAATGAAGCATAGCAACGTATAGCAACTAATTATAACTGATTACCCTCTGGTAAATTAACATAGACCCTGGCAGATGGACCTACAGATCAACCATGATCAACCCTTTCGGAGTGGCCTGTATCGACAGCAAATCATGACGACATTTTGCTAGTCCTTACGAGAATTGGTTGCAGAGACGAAGTTCAAACCAGGCTTCCTCAATGGAATATACAGTACGTAATATAGATTCTAGCGAATGTTTTCAAAGATGAACTTTGTGAACATGTCTGAAGGGTCCTTGTTTTCAAAAAAGACACGCCTTGCTAAAAGCTTTTGCTGCCTTGCGCAGGCGCAAATGGTTCAACCAAACCCCTTGGAGACGTCAGCTCGCGGCGATTTGAGAATGCTGTCCGGAGGCCAAAATTGAGCTGATTAATTTGGATTTGGAGACAGATCTAGCTTCGATTTTGGCTCTCAGCTTGCTGGAACCAAGTGTAGTTGAAGGAAAACTCGAAACAAGTACAACGCACTGGTGCACACCGACCTTAATGCATTTGGGAAACCTTGCACACAAAAAAATACACGGCAAAGGTATGGCGATTGATGCAGAAGGAGAAGAGGTCCCGCTCGAAATCATCTTCCAATGTTTTGAATGGGTGTGAAATCACCAGCAAAACAAAACCCCTGTGGAATGTATTGGATATTGATATATTTTTGGGGTCCCTCATGTTCATGGGTGGTATAAAGGTATGAACGGGGGATGGTTTTTAGTGCTGAAATTCAGAGCAACTTGGTGGATCCAGAACGGTGCTGCATGAGGACAACCTGGAACGAAGAATGCCTGCGCAAAGCTGTCGCAACCATCGGCAAGGACTGTGATAAAAACCAGTGGATTGGGCAAAGCGAGGTGACGTAGGTGACACACTGTTAAAGCAGATGATTGTAGACTATCAATGATATCTTGGATTTGATAAAATATATGATAATCAATAATAATCAATTATGATCAATGATAATAATGGGTTTGTCTGAAGTCGGTTATTATACCTCAAAAATCCAATCGTTAATCATCAATTCTGCAACTTTGGGAATAACCCGGATTTGGGGATGTTCTCATACTTAAAAGATACAGTACCAAAAACTGTAGATGGTTTGGAATCATGTGGCCATTTGATCCATTTTCTTTTTGCTGGCTCCGAATATGTTTATTTTCCACCCTTACCTGAAAGCACCTTAAGCCGTTTTCTTCACCGTGGCAGGAAATCGATTTCAGCTGCATGACCTCTTCGACCTCTAATAAGGAGGTTACACAGCTGGGCATGGATTGAAACTGCAACGGTCGCAGCGGTTGGAAGTTGCATTCCAGGAATTGAAGTAAGGGACAGTTCACTGGACCCTCCTATGTTTGGTCAAACATAGGATTTTGTTTTTTTTGGCTTCCAACTGGAATTTTATTTGGAATCCCTTGGTCATTGATGGTTTGTGTATGTTTTTTTTCATCCCACTTGGAGCCTCAGCGGTCAGTTGCAGGCCGTCTCTCATCATTTGCCAGAACCACTTGGTGGCCCAGCGGTCAGTCGTAAGAGGTGGAACTGATGTGACGAAGACGAAGATTTGGGGAATTCACCGACAACACTTGGGGATTTCAAATGGGATTAATCCAACCAGATGATATGATATATATATATATGTATATATATATGCACATATATACATATACATATACATATACATGTACATGTACATGTACATGTACATGTACATGTATATGTATATGTAATCATATATGTACGTATGTGTATGATATCATATATACGTACATATGTATACATATATATGTAATATGTAATATGTAATATGTAATATGTAATATGTAATATGTAATATGTAGTATGTAATATGTAATAATTATGTATGTATGCAGTATGTATGTATGTATGTAATGTAATGTAATGTAACGTAACGTAACGTAACGCAACGCAATGTAATGTAATGTATGTATGTATGTATGTATATATATATATATCAGTGTGTGTGTGATAGAAGGCATCCAACTTTTAACCATCAGCTGACTGGCAGATATTGTACCCTTTCCTGATAGGCGAAGCCTTGACAACCGAGCCGCAAGTCTTCCTAATCCGCAAGGTTGAGGGATGGATGGGTGGAACACGGAGTTTGTCCGAGAATGGGGGATTGCCCCCTTAAGTTATGGCTCTTTCAACGGGGAACATGATTATCAATGATTATAAAATTAGCCATAATAATCATTGATAATGGGATATTAAAATTAGCCATAATAATCAATACTCAATTATTATTATCATTGATCAATCCCTTAAGTTATGGCCCTCTTGTAATGGTTTCAGGATATGGAGACAGCCTTGAGACCTCGTCAAGTCTTGTACAGATGGCTCACCAAAGTCCTTTACAATCAGCACTCTGTTTGTGAGTGTGTAAATCGAATGACACATTGTATCATTGTATACTGTATATATCAGACATCGTAAGACGTCAGAGTCAAAGCCACATTTTGGAGATGGGGATGGAAATGTTGATGATCGGAATGACATGAAAACCAAGTGTTACTCACATGTCACTAGCAGTAATGCTTTTCGAAGAAACATTTGTTTGCCAGGAAACCATCATGGCCCCATTCGATTGCTGTCAAATCCCCGTTCCAGAACGCTGAACTAGGCAGCCTTCTGGACGTACAGCGTTTGGAGAACGCAGTCTGGCGCCTTTGGCCAAGAGAACAAAGGTGCCTGGGGCAAGTTCCAGCATGGAGTCAGTTAAGATGAAACTGCATTCATGATTTCAAGTCAAGATACCCTAACATGGCTGTGAAATCCCCTACTTCATAATTTTAGTCTTTATGGGGAAAAATATAAAATATATGTAAATCTGTAAATATATGTAAATGGTGGATTTTCTATTCCACTTGTATCTATTTGGATATGTGTCCCAGGTATGTTGGCAAGGTAGTTGTAAATGGGACAGCAATCCGACCTATTAGATGATTAGATATGTACTGGTATCACCAGCTGGGTACCAAGACTACTGTCAATTGAACATGATATTCTGCACTCCTTGAACGGATTGACGGAAAAGATGGGATCGGAATAGACGGATCAGCAGTGGGCCAAGGGCTGGACCAACCCTTAAAAACAACTTCCGTTCTTGGGCCGAGGGCTCTCCATTATTAACCTCTCAGCCCAGGTTGGGGTAACCCCAATTTCACCCTTGGTTTCTAATCACTTGGATGATAGGTCAGTTGGTTGTTCTCCAGGTAGTTACGGATGGAAATCCAAGATGTTTTTTTGGCAGGGCGTGGCAGCCATGGTACAGTGTCCTGCCTGACGAAGGTGCGGTTTTGAGGTTTTTGGGTGTTTAGAGTTTGGGTGTCACAAAACATTCTTTACTTTGATCCCTAAAAACCATCAACAGAAAGGGTTCATACAATGGGATCTAACTGGATTTAATGGGATGCAATGGGATTTGATAGTCAAATATGGTGGGATAAAGATCCGAGATTTTTCAGGTGATACAAAGCCAACACTGATCAGGCGAAAAGGCATCAGAAGAGCTTGGTTCGCAGTTGCTGCCTCAGTTGTTGAAATTGGATGATCGAAAATAATTTCACTCCATGATTGGGATCCAGTTGTGTATATTGATGTATATTGTAATCACTACAGTATAATTTACTGTAAGCGAACCTTCAACTTCTGGATGGTTGACTCGGACAGATATATATATATATAACAAACCATTTGTGGGTCCGCTGAAGGTCCATTGATGCCCCTTTTTCGAGTCATACTCATGTTTGCGTTGTCTGGCTGTTAAACAAAAGGTTTCCCAACCTTGATACAAAGGATTGATCTTTTGCAAGTACAGCGCCTGCTCCACAAGCAGGCCGAGTTCGAGGGTTCACTACTGTGCAAGCGGAGACTTTTGGGAAGTTGCGATAAGAAACCATAAATCTCATTATATGCACATTACATCAGATTAAATTCCGTTTTTGATGACGGCTAAACCAGCATTTTGGGAAATTGACCCATGCGAACCAACGGTTCGCAGCCCCGGAGGATGTGCTGAGTCAATTTGCGCTCCAACTCGTGCAGAGGGCGCATAGCATTGGGGCACCTGAACAGCAACTATTTGGCATCATTCGCACTTCTCACTCCAGTTGTCCATAGTTATCCATGGTTATTCGTGGTGATCTTCAAGGTGGAAGGTTATTTTGAGAGATCTCGGCCAACGTTCTGAATGGACCAACTTGGCAGAACAGAGCTTTGTAGCAGAATACATTTTGCTTCCAACAACAAAGCTGGATTCGACAAACCACACCCAGGTAAATATATGCATTAGCTATGCTATATCTATATACGTCGATTAAAGAGAGAAATGAAGTGAATTTTGACACAATGCGGCCATCGCTTGCAAAACTTGTGCGAACTTTTGTTGACTCATACTCGATTACTCGATCAAATCCCGTTGCGTGCGATCTTCGCACGCCACGAGCAAAGAGGTGTGCGCACATGCACCTGTATGGACAACTTCTTAGCTCTCCTTGGCATTTTCATGACTTCTGAATCAGATCAGATCACCCATGACGGCATGTACAGCTGAACCATAGCAGGGCTTGCTCTGGCGCTGTTTTGGCAGAATCTGAACTGGCTAGAAAATCATACATCCGAAAGCTGAATTCCATCCTACTTTTGTTTACATCCCTTAAAACCCTTCTGTGAGTAGCTTTGGTTTAATGCTCAGTTTTGGTGCTTGATTCATCTGTATGATGCTCAATTACGCTGATTAATCTTGATTATTGTTGTTGACTAGATGCGGATTCTGGTGGTTTTCATGGTGTTTTGTGACAATCCAACAATCCAACTAATCAAACATGAGGTTGTCGCGAAATTAGACACGTGTTTGTTCATTTTCACTATCAATATGTGCATCTATGCTATGGTCAAAAGTTGTATTATATCATATTAGATCTCTATAAGTATATATATACATATTATATACGTCGTACGATAATATGCCCATATTGGGGGATGGTCATCAATTTGAAAAGATCGGAGTAATGAAACGCTGAGGCGCAGTCCACGGAGACGCCGGCCACGCCTCGGAGTCTGGCAAGTTCAGCCCCAGAGGTGGTGGGGTCTGCCTGGATTTTCCGTTTCTCCATGGGAAATTCCAATGGTGAATACCCGGCCTGGTAAACGTTTACATAACGAACTGGAAAGATCCACCATTCTTAATGGGAAAACTCACTACAAATATCTACAAATGGCCATTTTCAATAGTTATGTTAGTTTACCAGAGGGTAGATGTTAATAGTGATGATTCATTGATCACTTGATGGATACTTGATGGGATATCTACTGGGATTTAGCCTCCGGTGTCCAAACATGGGCGGCTGGAAAATCCCTGAACTAAATTGAGGTTTATAGCTGGGAAAATCATCGAACTAAAGGATTTTCCATGGCCATCTTTGACTACCAGAGGATGCCATTTTGTTGCTGGCTTTGACCATCCAAAATATGGAAGATAATTCTTAAACGTCATTTATAGATATCCATGGGGGCTTTAAGCATAAGAAGTATGGAATCATATACTTCTTAGCATTCATTAACCATATAATATATGTATATATATATAGCCAAGTTGGTTTATACCTGGCATACCTGACAACTCGACTTTATGGTAATTATTTGCAATTATATATACATATATATATATATGTATATATGTATATATATATATATTTATAAGAACTAGTCTATTTATAACCATAGTAATTATCATAACTAGACATACCTAGACATTATGGTGTTTAGGAACTTCCAAGTGGGGCCCCGAAAACCGAGTCGCAAACTTCCGGATCGGAGTCCCTGAGATTCCGCAAGGCAGAGGACGAAGAATCCACTGGATGGGCTGGATGGATGGCCGGAACCTCAGTGGGCTGCTGGAGGGTCAAAAATGATGGAAAGCCGGCAGTTTCTGCATGTTAAAAGCACAGCTGCAATCACCAGTTGCAATTTTAAGAACTTCGTGACTAAGGACGCTGCGGTTCCAACCGTGTGGATTCTTGGTGGTGTGCTCATGGCGGTCGGCACTCTCCGTGCTCTGAAAGGGATGTGATTCGATGTAGTTCCGTACGTTTAGTCTTTTGCGGCCAAGAAGTCGTAGATTAAAGGCGTGGTTTCATCGCTTTTATTTTAAAGACTTGAAGCAGTGGGATGGGCTTGTAAATGTCCACTCCCCCCGATTTCTGAAACTGCCGCGCCTCTACTGGCAGCCGCGTAATCATCTGAATCTTACGCAGGAAAGACACATATACACACATACAATATACGCATAAGTTTTGATTTTAGATACACGAAGGTAAATGATATGTGTGCACTGTGTATGTACAGTACCCCTTTTGCATTGACATCTTTTGATGACATGGACATGTTTTCCTGGTACGCCGCTTCTTGACGCTTGAAATACACCGGCAAAGGCATTGACAACATAATGCATCGGTCTCATTTCAATGGGCCTTGCTCCAAGTAAGCAGGTCACATTTCCTCTTGCGGATGAATAACTGTTTAAGAGGAACAATGGATGAATTCGCCCACAATGGAGAGGCTGGGTCTGTCCTGGACTGCCAGCTCCAAAGATCTTTTGAAGTTGCTATTTCAGCTATCAGTGTAGCATAGTGTAGCAGGATCCGATTTGATTCCCAGTTTGCTGAGCAACTACCGATCTTCAGTGGCAATATGCATGGCGCTTCCAATAATCAAAAGTGCCAATCAATTTGGTGCAAGTGCCCTCTGTAAATAGCTGTGAAAAGTAAAGGAGTATAGGGAGGCAATGATTGATTTGCCTCTATCTTCTCTTGCCCGCGCGACAATACCCCGATCGTGCTCGGAATTCAGATGCAATGCAGCCTGCTCAAATTTTCGAGCTGCTCTGTTCCCCTCGGTCAGAATGACCATGGCCTTCACGTGGGCTTTTGACTTTTTTTTTCTTTTAAGATCCTCCAAAGAAGTGTCGTAACACATCATGATGCAGCAGTGCGAATTTGATCCTTCGGTGATTTTCCACAGTTCGCCAAGCCTTGTGAAACATGGTCTGATAGCTCCAGCAATTAGACTTGAGCTTTTAGGTTGCCATGGGCGAAACTTGGGACCAGTGGTGTTTGCCTAGAGTCCACGGATGTCCATGGAATCATGGAAAAATGAGGATTGACTAGCGAGAGCAACATTGTGTAATATGATATTTTCTCAGAAAGGAACTTATCACCAGCATTTTTTTGTTGCAGCGGTGCAGCAAGTAGTTTCGACCATGGCATACATGCTGGACATGCTGGTAAGCAGTCCGGGGTCGCGCGTGTGGCCATGGTGGTTGAACCTAGCGCGGGCCCCTCTAGCGCCAGCGAGGACTCCAAAGAGAACCTTGCAGAGATGGGTCCTGAAGCGCCAGATAGTTTTTCAATAATTTATCATGGGGTACCCGTCAGTGGGATGATTTTGATTGGAATTTAATTGGAATTTAATTGGGCCAGATCTAAATGTTCGAACTTTCCAGCGAGACCCATCGCTGTGAGACCCCAAGAGGAGGCACAGTTCCTGGTCCTTCCACAAAAAACTTTTAGCCGAGCCTGAGTCAGGATCGATTCTAGATGATTCTAGAAAGTCAGTGTTGATGTGGCGGCCATGGTGCTGTTGCTGCTTGGCTGCTTGCGATTTGAAGAACTTGCAGCCTCTCCTCAGTTGCCGCAAGTGACGGGCGGGCCTCCGAGGGACTCTTCCATGAAAATTGCTATGGGTAGAGCTACCTGGAGATGTGGCTGGTCGCCGTGATTTGAAGCACACTTTGAAACGGCCTGCTTTTTTGCAGCCGGCCCCAGCTCAAGCTGACTTTGGTTTGCCAAAAACGACCCTTCCAAAACACCCCTTTTGCTCTCAAAAAAGGTCTCCGCGAGCTGAAGCTTGGTAAAGCTTGGTCTTCCAAACATAGAAGCATTTGGAATTATCCACAAGAGCTTGTTGATTTCCCATTTACAGGAACCGGCTGTATATGGATAGAATTTCAGGGGTTTCCGTCACTTCCCCCCTGAAACCATCCCAATGATGATGGCGGATCCGCATCACGCCTGGTAGACATCTCAACTTGGTGAGGCGGAGATTGATGAGCAACCCGAGATTCCAATGGTGAATGGCCGCTTGACCACATCCCTGGCTGTGAAGGCCCAGCCGAGCCCAAACCAAAGAGGATCAAAAGGGCCATCTTAGGGGGATTTTAAGCAGATTGTCACTTAGGGTGTGACTGAACATGGGTGATCTCCATTTATTGGTTAATTTAATGGGAACTGCGAGTGCTTTTGGGGTATACCAGTTGCAACTCCATTGATCGATCCCTGCACAGGTGGCTGGTGGCGACGGGAGCCCATATACCGCTGGTCCGGGCACCCCCACTGGTGGCCAATTCAGGCTGAGAGCATGTTACACTTGAGCAGTTTCGAACAGCTCAGGTAGAAGTTGTAGAGCTATAGTTACACTATGTTACACTGCCTAACATTTGTTGCGAGGTTGGAATCGGTTTGACAGATGGGTCTACTTTTTCTATCTTTTTCTTCCTGCCTAGTCCCAATCCTTGCCCTTGAGATAGACCAAAGCTAATCCAGAAAGGTTTAAAATAGATTAAAATAGTTGGCAAATTGATGCGTTTGTCTGAAGATTTAGGGGAAAACTCCAGAATTTCGCTGGTTTACTCTCATTTTCCCTATCAACACCTTTCAAACACACCCAGATGCCATTTTTGTCCGCTTGTGCTTGATACACCGTGCCAGGCAGACTTTCACGCCACGGGAGTGCCCCAAGAGCGGCTGCCCGCAGCCGCAAGTTGGCGTTGATGGACGGGCTTGGCATGGTTTTGTGCTGGAAGAGCTGCACCTGAAACACTGGGGTTGTCTGAAAATAGCGTAAAATCCATTGGTCAATCAAGGTTATTTTCATGTTAATCACACTCTTCCAGACTTTTCCCCTATTACTATGAAACTAACAATTTTTGCTGTATACACAGTACATGATTTTCATCCGTATCTAAAACACAGCTGGATATGGGCCCAACTTGCGGTGTACAAAAGGTGACGCGACTGCCCTGGGTCTTGGCTCTTGACAATGGTCAAATCCGCAGGATACCTGCCACAAAGGTGTGCTCCTAAGTCGAAGTCGACATTTGCGTCGTGAAAAAATCTGGCAATGGAAGATCTCCCAGAAGACATCAATGATTTTCCCATGATCATCGGAACATTTCCCATTGCCATCTATGATCAATGGAGGCTACCGGCTACACCAAAAAGATTCCAAGCTTCAGATGTGTCTTGAGGCGTTGGTCCGACGCAGCAAGTTGGCCCGATGGAAAGTTGCCAGTGGCAATGGTGGGCACTCCCAGTTCCGAGTCTCTGAGTATGTGGCTTTGGGTCAAAATTGGGTACCACCACACCAAAATTTGCCGGTCAGTAAGACAGACATGTTTTTTTTTGGGTCCACAAGCCACAAACTTACCTATAGATCCTAAAGCCATGTGGCATCCAATTTTTCCGGCTCTTTTTGTCACGCTGCCCTGGCGTTCAAAACTTAGGACAATGTGGTATTACCCCCCACAGACAACGTGCTGCTGGACATTGTGACTCCAAAGTTGTGCGGATTCCAAGATCTGATTTCCGGCTTAAATGATGCAGATCCAAGCGGAGCGTTGTCCAGAAACGGTGGTAAATCCCATTGTTTATGGCAACTTGAATGGTGTAAGTGATGATTAACATTGTTTTTGATCATTACTTTTGGATTTGAGATACTTAAAGTGATGATTGAGCAGTGGATAATGAACCAGGAGGTCTAAATTTGCAGACACCTGAATCATCCAGAGATGTGGTCGGTGTTTCAGGCATTGGGTTGACATCCAGGGCAAGCTCGAGTTTGATCGTGCCCTGAACACCACACTCAACGCGCATTCCTTGAAAGTCTGCTGCCTCAGGAAATTGATAGGGCTTTTAGATCTTTGAAGATTGCTAAGTTTTATTGTGTTCAATATCTTTGGAGTCTGAAGATCTTTGACTTTGACGATTCCTAGTGATCAGATAGATCTCTTTGAAATTTCTTGGTCAATAGCAATCAATTTGGCACAGTCACAGGGTGAGAATTTTCTCTCTTTCGCTTAGGTTTGGGGCAAATTGGAGATGGGAACTGTGGCCATGGCCTTGGCATTTAAAATCGGTAACCATGCTGACCATCTCTGCTGCTCGCCGCTTCCGCTTTCCGAGGACAATCCAATGCCAGCGGCCAACAAGGCCGAGATTGTCCTTTGGGGCGCCGAGCAGGTGGGGAAAACCTGCCGACGTCGATGGGAGATGATGGGACGATATGGGACGAATGCGATCTGCGATCTGGAGGCCATCACGGTGATCATGGTGGAAGGACTCTTCTTGGTCAACAAGGTCATCGCTGTCTTGGGCGAGTTCTCAGCTGTACCTTGGCGTGCCAGATCAGCTCCGAGTGTCACTGTTGCGATTCTTGGAGTTGTCTCAATTTGGAAACCCAAATCAAAGGTATTTCAATTCTTATTTTGGAGTATTCTCAATTTTCGAGACACTTGTGCGAGCAACATGGTGACACTTTTTTTTTAAAAAGCAGTGTTTGGATGTGCCGAGGTGGGAACCCCTCGCACCAGCAAGGCATGGACGAGACTGTCTCAGACTGCTGCAGCAGGCGGGTGTAATGCTCGTTTGAAAGGCCATGCCTTTCCGAACTGGAACCAGTGCCCAAGCAAGGCACCTGGATGTTTACAGTTTACTGGTTATTACTGGTTGATAAGCCTGGATGATGGTTAATGAGCCTGGATATGCCATGATATGCCTGGATCAGCCCTTGATCCCGCCAGGTGCCACGCAACTCACGGTTCAAGGCACTGTCACAGACTGGCGCCCAGGGTCTCAGGCGGGGTCTTGGAGACCTGGTCCAGTAGAAACTACCCCCCATGTACGGGTCAGATAGATAGATAGATAAGATTAGATAAGATTAGATAAGATTAGATAAGATTAGATTAGATAGATAGATAGATGTATAGATGTATAGATGTAGAGTTAGAGTTAAAGACAGACATAGATAAAGATATAGATGTAATGTAGATGTAGATGTCGGTTGGTAGGTAGGAGGTAGGTTAGATAGGATGGTTGGATAGATAGAATGACGGTTTGACCAATTGACCCAGAGATCGGCCCATAGAGAAATCAGTCCTTGTTGCACTCAGCGGTTGCTGACTTTTACCACCCCATTTGGGGTCTGAAAATGGGGCATCCCCACTTCTATTGATTAACCATCATTAACCATCGAAAAAAACAATCGTTTTGTGAAATATCATCAATTTTCATCATAATTTTCATATTTCATAAATCATATTTCATCAATCATCAACATAAACCATCATATTTTTGATCAATTTTCATCATACCCTCTGGTAAACGTTTACATAGCTATGGAAAGATCCACCATTCTTCATGGGAAAATCCACTATAAATCACCATTTTCCTTACAACCTATAGCCCCCCAGATCGCCCCTCCAGGTGGCGATCTCAGCCACGGAGTATCCATCGCCGCCTCAGACCACCGAGACGGAGGTCAGATTCGGCCAAGACCGTTGAAAAATGGCTGATTTAACCAAGAAAAACAGGGATCTTATGGGATTGTATGAGGATATTTTATGGGGGTGTACAGCCAATATATATATATATATAATGATCTTTGGGTGTGTCTGACGTTTTATGGCAATTTGAGAAACAATTGTAGTTGTGGGTGAGAATCCTTATTTTCGGGGAACCTTTGGGTTGAATTTGGCACAACAATTTGAAGACGCGCCCGAAAGACATGGAAACATTCGAGAGTCTGGTGGCTTCTAGCACCTGGTAGCCAAAGTTGAATGAATGTCCTTATGAATCAATACTGTAAAATCAGTGAATCCAAAGAATGCCTAAAATCTTGGTGACTGGTGGGATCCCAATGACCCAGACACCCAAAAAATCATCAAAATCCAGGTGAGAACCATCTCTGCTGAGCCGGTCTATGACGCCTGGCCCTCAATTCCACGATGCCTTCCATGCACAGCGACGGAGACCTCAGGCAGCCACGGACACCACCACACTGACGCTCAGCACAGCCTTGACACATCGCCATTTTGCCGGAGTCATTGACAGCCCGCTGCCTTGAGTTCCCAGGGTTTTTGAATGGTTTGGGGTGTGGTAAAACCCAATAAAGCATATTATGGTTTGCAATAGCGGCCCCAAATGGTAACATTGGGTAAGTTGGGATTGTTTATTATTTTTTGTTTTTTTAACCACATTAGCTGAGTCACCTGGGGATTTTTCATGGGATGAATCGACATTGAGGACTCTGAACCCCACAAAATAGGTGCGATCTTGCTTTTCAGTGGGTTGGTGTAGGAGAAAATCTACAAGAAACCCTAGTTTTGCATGGTCTTGCCATCCAAATATCCGGGTTTGCTGTACAATTTCCCAACCAATCCATTGATATCATGTTTGGTGGTGAAATCCCAGAGAGCTCATGATTTTTATGTTGAATCCCACGAAATCTTTATGAATTCCCGTACTTAGATGGGCCATGGGATTAATTAACTGGTTAGTAACTGGGGATTTGTTACCCCCCAAAAATCCCAATTATAATCCATTTACTACCCTCTGGTAAACTATGGAAAATCACCATTTTCAATGGGTAAATCCACTATAAATCACCATTTTCAATAGCTATGTTAAATTACCAGAGGGTAACCAGTGAAAACTAAGTCCATGGCCCATCTAAGTAGCTTCCCCCAGGTAGTGCGGAGAACATCCACTGGCCCCAGCCCTTCTTGGCGGCCGCTGTGGCCTTACTGGATGGCCGATCCAATGTGGCCCATGGCATGTTGCGTTTCAATGACGACATGGGATGTAATGGGGGTATATATATATATACATATATATATATATAATAGAACATATATATGTATATAGTATTAATACAATATATGAATAATATATATAAATATTAATATATAATATACATTCATATATCATATATAGTATTATAGTACATTATGTATGATAATCAATACGAATTAATAACTATAAAACTATATCTATACATATACATATATATATATATCTATACATATATATATATGCATATATATGTGTATATATATATGTATAGATATAGTTTTATAGTTATGTATATATATACAGTATATAGTTATATATATATATAGTAATATAGTTATACATATATTATATATATAGAGTTATATATACACATACGTATATACACCCCCAAACATGTTCCCCAATCACGGGAAGTCTATTTCGGAGAAACCCACATGTGGGACCCCAACATCATCCAAACTTGGTCTTTATCAAATAGGGAAAGTAATGGCAACTAATGATTTTGGGTTTTTCCAGTTTAGGAACCCCGCAAAAATATCCCATGCGTGAGAGTTTTTTGTTCAGGAGTATGAGTTCAGGTAGTGGGATTATTTGTATATCAATGTACAGATACATCGAAAAATCAACGATGGTGGGCCATCATGTGATCTTTTACCGCACCTCAAGCCAGCTGGATCATTGACAAACTTCTCGCTTTTGGAGGTGATGGTAAAAAGTGAATTGATGGCCAGGTAGTGATCCGAACCGGAGAGGAATTTGAAGAACACGGAGGTGCTTTCCGACACTGTGCGATTATGTTTGTGCCTATATGCCCCCGGCAGCGATCTCTTCATTCACAGACTTGACATAACGCTTACAAACCTACAGTGTCTACAGGTGATGTAGTGATTGGCGGCTCTTCAGACGGCAGATGGGCAGAGCTCTCAGTGTGTTGGTGGTTCGGAAGTCATTGAGCTGTAAGATCTGTAGGGTACATTTATCAGAAACCCGAACTTGTAGTTATATACTTGGTTCGACAACCGGACTGAGACTGAAGTGCAGTTTTGGCACACCAGCTTCCACGTTGTCAGAAGGATGCCATTTTGCCACAGAAGACAACCAGAGTTTCACAAGCACCATTCCTGCAAATGGGTCTGAGAATTGGGTAATTAGCATTTGATTATCCCAATCCTGAAATAACATCTCATAGTTATTTGGATAATTTGGGTAATTTTGTTATATAATTATCCCAATCCCCTGACATCCCACCAATCCTCTAACATCCCATAGTTTACCCTCTGGTAAACTAACATAACTATAGAAAATCACCATTTTTAATGGGTAAATCAACTATAAATGGCCATTTTCAATAGCTATGTTAAATTACCAGAGGGTATCATTGAATTTCATTGAAAAAAAAGCAGCAAACTTGCCAGGCAGGAATCGCCACGATTAGCAACGTGGACTTCATCCGCATGGGCTCTTCGTCGCGAAACAATAGGGACGTTTCGTTTTTTTTTTCCAGCGAACATGGGGTTTACCCTCTGGTAATTTAACATAGCTATTGAAAATGACCATTTATAGTGGAATTTCCCATTAAAATTGGTCATTTTCCATAGCTACGTTAAATTACCAGAGGGTAACCTGGTTTAACCACCAATGATACAGTAAGTGTCATTGAGACTTCTCATTGGAAGTCATCATTGGAAGTCATTGGACGTCTGAAAATGTCTGAAAGCCGAGGCAAGTTCTGGTATCAAGCGCCAGCTCTGAAGTTCAACTTCCTTGGGTCGGGGATCCCAGTAGAAAAACCATGAAAAACCATGAAAAACCCGGATCCCAGTGCCGCCGCAAGTCGCGCATCGCCCAGGGGCCAGAAGAACATGTCCCGGGTGGAGAATTGCGTCTTTAGCCATTCGCAGTCTGGGGCCATTGAGGCCCCTGGCCGCGGCAAGCATCCATGGGAAGGGATTAAACTCTAACTGAAGGAAGCTCAACTGTGATAAACTGCAAGGAACGCATGAGCAATTTAATCATATTTAATCTCTTAAACCCTTGAATTTCCTGTCCGATGAAGCTGACACAAGCAGACAAGTGTGACTCGCAGTGTGACTGTGTGACTAGGCCAACTATGTCTCTAATTTGGAGATTGTGGACAATGTCTTCCACAGGCTCTGAACGAACTGCTGTATTTGTTTGCGCCGTTTTTACACATCTCAGTGTGGCTGCAGGACGACGCGAACGGCAGTGTGGATCCGAGGGACAAGCAGCCAAGATGCCATCGTCCTCCGGAGAAACGTGGCCATTGAAACCCTGCGTCACCCCAGTGAGAATACAGGCCCAGCATTGTCCCACCTGCATTGCCCATGCACCGCTATTGATTTAACCAATTTAACCTGTGTGGTCACGTCAAGACACATCAAGACACATCAAATTAAAGGCCTTTTGGCTTTGACATTCACCAACTCAAAGATGATCGGCATGGCACAGCCCACTGGCCGCAGAATGGATCAGACATTTCGGCGCCTACTACTTGGAGGCAGTGGCTACCCCTGTTGGTTCATGACTACATTAACCTGCCCTGTATATTGGTGGATTATTACAACCCATGATAGCAATCCCCATCATTCACCAGCCAGTACAGCTAGAGTAACTGGATGGACTAGTGGTATGCACGCGACGGGAGGTCCGCCCAGCAGTGCTTGCGGGAAATGTTGCAGCAGGCACGGTGAAAAACATGCTCTGGAAAGAACACCAAAGAATTGATTATGAGCTAGACCCAGTCATAACCATCCCCAATTTCGGAGTATTATTGGGTTTACCGGTTTACCATATATTTTATCAGAATAGCTGTGTTTGGTAACATATATTGGCAAATATAATTCCCAATAATCCTCTATTATGGAGAATTATGGGGAATATATGATATGTTTTTACCATATATCAGTGTTTGCCTCATATGGGTATGGATCAATACCTATTAATACCATTTTTAGGGGGATGAACATCCATTTACCAGCTATTTTGATGTGAACTACAGGGGTACAAGGTTTTGACCCACTGCCATATTTTGCTATAATCCCTCAATTCAAAAAATCCTCCAGCTTTCACCTTGACTCTCCAGGCTCCTGCGATACCGGTTTCATCCTGCGGCCCCAATTGGCGGCCTGTCAGAAGGGCGATGCTGGTAACGCCAGGTTACAACAGGCCGGGGCTTCTTTGTACCAGCCAAAAATGGGGATTCTACACACCAAGAACGGTGAAGTGAAACCACAATTTGGATTCACCAATGAAGATGGCTCTGTCTACTTTCTTCTTGAACCTTTTTTTTCACCGTTTCGAAGGCATGAATTCACCATGGTTGGATAGGTTGAACGCACCCAGCAGCATGGGCAGATATTGGCTTCGGGTGAGATTCGGGTCTACTGAAAGTGGACCAACATCTGTAGCAAGCTGCATTTCTGCTGCAGGAAGATCTCAACGAGGCCGTCGCCACCATGACCGGTGTCTTCATCTTGGACGGCTGTCAGGCTGGGCATCCTGCAGGAAAATTCCAACATCAACAGAGCGCAAAACCATTTTGCAGAGCCTCATTCTCCTGAACACTCAACATCGAGAGTAGATGATAGTGGTTGATGATGCACATGGGATACCACCATGCCATTCGCCAGTTCTTGGTGTTTGAAACACGTCCCTGGACAGGGACAATGCAACGACTGTGCACAAGTGCACGGTTTGGTAGCCTGGAAATCTGCACATGGAGGCTCAATGGACGCATATCGTGCGTTTGTTCAGACATGGGTCAAGAATTAAACCATTGAATGGGGAAAATGATGAACCGTTGGATTCTTTGGGCCTGATTTTTAGACAATCCCATTTGATCAGAGATTTGCTTTTCGGAAGGTTTGTGCATGCGCGCCAATGATTTCTTCTTGATGTACTTCGGACCTTCCGATGTTCCTTGTTCCTTTCTTGCTACAGTATGATACGCCAATTGTCATCTTGCCACTGCGATGAAGTGTCATGATATGTCATGATGGTGCAGGTATCATGTCTGGCGACCAGAATGCCAATGTCAGGCGGGTTTGAGGCTTTTGGCATGGTGTGGCAGCTATCATTGGCTTGAGATCGATTGGATTCCATGGGATTCTATCACCCAAATAGCACCAATCTACGGCCTGTGGCAATGTCCATCCTAGCGGTTTCGGGGAGAGAAGAGAGTTCTAATGTTTGTGAGATTTCCTTGAAAGCAAGTCAGGAAAGCACATTACTCATGGCCAACTGTGAGGCTGGACACCATACTTCTTGCAGACAATCATATTGGAGTCCTTGCCCCAGTGCAGTTTGCCGCGCCCAAGCTGTGCAAGTGAGATTGCTGAAATGGTTGTTTGATGTTGTTTGCATTTTTGAATTTTTGAGAGCGACACTCACACTATTGCTTCTCTCGAGATCAGTCCTTATCACTCGCCAGTTTGCCTGAAAATAGTATACCCCCCAATCTATTAGATTACAATCATTTTCCCAATTAACATAGCCATTTAGGATCATTTAATTTAGGGGTATCTGATTCCATTTTCAGTCACACCCATGTACAGTCATATGAATTTTGGTATAATTGGTATATGTACCATTGTGACATATGTGCACCATGCGATATCCTCCATGATACCCCCCCGTGCCAATGTGCTCAGATCGCTCTGCGCTTCCTGCGCAACACCGCTGATATGGACCACCGGGCCCACAGTGGCCTGTGTTATGGGGCCATCAGGGCACGTCGGTGAAGTGCGATCCCTCCTTTGACTCATATTCTACCCTCCGGGAATCAAACATTGGATAACATTGGCAATGGGGAATCCCCGATAAACGGACAACTTCAATGGCAAAATCATGTAACTTATATGTAACTTATGTAACATGTAAATCCTGTTGACCACACGCCAGACGTACAGCTACAACGTCAGCGTCTACGGATCAACTCCAGCTTCCACTTGCAATGGCCTCAGAGGGGTCCAAAGACCAAGCCATGTGTCGCGCAAAGTGCGACTTGAGGTCAGCTGGATTCATTTGGGCACATCACTTGGGGCAATCTTTGGAATCCAACTTTTTTCCCAAACATAGTTGGTTTATGTTGGTTTGACATGTTTGGAACATTTTGGAACTACATTCTTTACTCTCTAGATTAAGGATGATTTAGTTGGAGCTCATCCGCGTTTTCGGTCCGCACGCTTCAGCCTTTTTTTTAGGTGATGCCTCCATCGACTGCCGAGCCTATGGCTGCTTGCCTTGGAAGTCTCGCAGTTGGAAGTCTGCCATGGACTGAAAAAGGAAGAACTATGACAGCAACTATGAATATATAACTGACATCCTGGAAGATCTCTCCGGTGAATAATAATAGTAATGCAATATCATTGAATATATATAATAGATAATTTAATACATAATACATTCAATTAATTACAACTGATATTCCAAGTGACTAAGTGGAACATCTGCAGAGCAGCGGCTTCGAGGTGAAACGGATGCGGTGGGTTTGGCCTGCAACTCCGTGCTGGCGGACAAGTATCGCCGGGTGGGCGGAAAGCGGGTGGCGGGTGTTTACTGCGTGGAACGTCCAAACAGTTTCGAAGCCAGGAAAGGTATGAAAGGGTTGGGTACAACATGGTATAACATGGTATAACCATGTCAAGTTGTTGTACCATGTTATGTTGTGTGTATATGACCATTTGCCAAACATATTTGGCAGAAGTTTTGTACCAGTTGTTGAAAAGATATCAGTGCAACCACTAATAACTAGCAGCGGCACCCACTTCGTATAGACGTGCGTTCCTGCAAGTTTCTGTAGGTTTTAGCTACGGCTTGAAACATGAAATATAAAATGCTGGGTTTCAGACTATTTAGATAAGTCATAGTTTTAAAGACCAAACAAGAAGCGGCACGCAAGGATTTACGATTTATCAACCAAGCCAGGAAAAGAAATTTTGACACACATAATATATACATATATATGTATATCAACCCGCAGAATTGGATGGTGCATCATCAAAAATGAAGCTGAAGTGTGGGCGCAGATCTTTCAAAGTTTAACCCAGTTGACCTGCCAAGTCTTTTGGCTCATGGCAATGTTTCCACATGTTTCCAAGACGACGTTGCAGGTTGGCATCATGACGCACATGATGAACAACATACCCAAGTTCTGCGAAGCAAAGGGAGTCGAACCTTGCCGACCACCCACCACACCAATAAAGATGTGTGTCAGTGCCTCAAGGGTGAAGCTGGGACGTTGAGTGGTGGGTGTCTCGTTTCGGGGATTTTTAACATCACTTTCGCGTATTTGTTTGACATGATATCTCCAATAGTTGGGTCATTAGGTCATTAGATGATATTAGGCCAGCAATTAGGACATTTACCAACCCAAGATATTAGATGATATATGATGATATTAGATGATATTAGATATTTCCAAGACATAGTTCTATCATAGTTCTATCGTCTTGGGGCTTACAGAGATCGATTTTCTGAGGTGATGCCCTGGGAGGAACGCATGGGCTCTGCAGGCGGGCTGTTGTCCTGCTTGATAGGACCCTAGTAATGGTGAAACTTATACTGTAGTAAGGCCAAACAGAAAAGTAAATTCCAACTAAAACAGTGAGACAGCATTACTCACATTACTTTTCTACCTTTTTGTGGACTTTTTGTTGGCGTTGCTATACGTTACCTTCTTGACTTGAACCCACAACCTTCGTCATGTTCAATATCATCAAGATCAGATGTCAAATTTTGACCCACACACGGGGAGATCCGAGCAAAGCCTTATTTTCAGGGCGTCCAATTTTGAGACCTGTTTCTGTGAGTGTTCATAGTCAGAGGAATCAGCAGGTCAATGTTTCAGTTCATAGCAACAGAAATATGTGTCAAGTGGACATATTTTCTGCCATTTTGCGCCATTTTGCACCACTTTCACTGGATCGCGATCGTGATACCTTGACACTTGCGACTTGAACTCCGCTGGAAAGTACCTTTTTGTGGAGAGAACGAGGTGCCAGGATATTCTGAGCATTTCATGGTGCCAGGCTCACGGTATTCGGAGTCTCACTGGGATGGTATCACGTCACGGTCTCAATTTCTTTGAGCACTCCATGTTTCCAAGGTGGATGCCTGATAATGCTTTTGACCTGTCTTTCTTGATTGCTGATTGTATATACATATACATATATACATATATACATATATACATATATACATATATACATATATACATATATACGTATATACGTATATACATATATACATATATACATATATACATATAGACATATACATATATATATATGTTACATGTATATGATTAATTATTTTGCAGGGTGTTTCAACATGTTTCAACATGTTTCAACCACTAACCAGATGCCAAATGCTTGCTTGCGATGCCTAGGTTTGGCCATTGGGCTGCTGATGACTGCGGCCGTCCGTCGGTGGCCTTCACGTGACCAACTAACATGTGGTCCATTGACACCACTACTGACTTGAAACCTGTGTCAGAATGAAAGGTCGGCAACGGATGAAGATTTGTGAATTTTGTGAGCCCACCTTGAGGTACAACCCCACAAACATTGACGTTGCATACCCGCAGTTCTTTACGGGTGTGGTGTGGCTTCCGACCGTTGAGGTCTGCAACCAAGTGTGGTTGCTACGTATGACGTATGAGTTTCCAGGAAGCTGAGTAGCCTGGGCATCGAACTTGTCCCTTTTCCATTCTTTTCCATCTTTTTCCCTGTTTGGAATGTTACTATTTACGTATTATGAACTTAATATGACAACAAGCATCCATCAACAGGGGTGTTTTATCATGTTTTATCATTTTTTTAAACTCTACAGCAGGATTTCGCCTCTGGTGAATTACTGCTGCTTCCGAGGCCAATGCAAAAGTGTTCTTGGGCGAATCCACCATTACGCACAACAGCGCCAGAGCCTCGGTCCATTTGCTGATGTCGAAATGATAGACTTGGTGAACTGAAGAACTGTTTTATAGCGACTTGGTGAACATTCACAGCATAACTGGCATAAACTCATAGGAACATATAGGATCATATAGGAACATTAATAGGGAAACCATGGGAAATTCACTGCATTTTGGATCATCTTGGATGGTCACGAACTGGGTGTCTCCAGGACTCGTTTATTGAATTCACGAAGCCACGGGTACCCATTCAAAAAAGGTCACGGCAACTGGGGAGTTCGATGGTGTCAACCAGTTGGTCGGAAGCTGAGCAGATTTTTGCTGGGTGGAGCCTTCTGAAGCTGGTGGATGCTGGTGGCTCTCGCTGTTGATATCTGTTGATCTTTGGATATCTTTGGTTAGGTGCTCACAGATGTGGATGGCAGCCTGCTTGGTACCACATCAAGAGATGCATCGGCCGGAAACCCTGGTGAGCAAAGCCGTCAATCTTCCATAATCTTCCTATTTCAGCTGCAGATGGATATACTTGGGATCACACATAAATCTTGTGTTTGGCCATGGCTCCGATCAGCCAAACAACCATTTAGTTGAGGGTTCAAGATCACCGAGTTTGCCGTATTTCCCATTTCTGACCCACATAGCTGATTGTAAACAATCAGCTCCAGGTCAGTTGAGAGAAGTCGCCCCCAGGTCTGTTGAATGGCTCAAAATTACATTCTCCTTGAAAAAGGATTACCAAATACTAAAGATCTTGTGGGTCCGTTGGTGCCCCGTTTTGGGTCGTACCCAATTCACAATCTTGAGACGCAAATGTCCTGAAAAAAACTGAGATGGTGACCGTGTACAATCCAGCACTGGCAATCCAGAGCTGCACGTCTGCGCCCCAAATTAGACTGGGCTTGTCAGCTCTCTAGTTTTGGTGGGGTTATTCTACCTGGTATACATTGACATCAGAGCTGGGAACTGATCCAGCTCCATTTTTCGCTTTTGTTGGTATGACCGGTGTAATGTTGAAACACAAGCTTGTTTGTGAGCGGGAAAAGCTGCAAGAGACGCATGGTCTGGGCTGTCAGGGAAGTTGCCTCTTCCTACTTTGACTGCCCTGATCTCCAGCTTCGTCTTCTGACTTGGGAGGCGGGGTGCATTCTGCCGCTTTCGTTGCATGGGTTTCAGAAACAGCTAACAGCAGTTTTCAACCATGCAAAGCTGCTCTGGTTGTTGGTTTCTCCCCTTTCCTAGTTTGCATGCGTAAGAACTGGAAGATGACAATGAGGATGAGGATTGATGATTGATTATTGATGATTTATGATTGATGATTGATGGCTGATGGCTGATGGCGATGACGATGACGATGAGGATGATGAGGATGAGGATGATGAGGATGAGGATGAGGATGATGAGAATGCGGATGAGGATGAAGAAAATGATGATGATGATGATGATGATGATGATTCCCAGTTGAGCCGCAAGTTTTTTTCTTAAACAAAGGAATTGGCTCAGCTAGCAACTAGTTTTCTGATAGATCGCCGGGAGCCTGACAGCACCACATTGGAGGCTGTTGGTGGCCCGTCCCACCGTGTCCTAAGCAAGTTCAAGGCAGGAGCTAGACTCGGTGAAATTTGTTGAGCTTTGTATGTCCAATAGAAGGCCTGGGTTTGAGTCTTGGGAATCTTTGTGCACTTTGAACCGTTGGATTTCTTCGTGTTTCCTGCTGCGATCTCGGGTTTTGATTGAATTGTGCGATTTCGGGCCTATTTAGGAGAATCGATGCACCTGTCTCGTTCCAAGAGCTTGAATGTATAGCTGGGAGTTTGGTGCCACTGGGTGCCACTAAGATATAATTAGGTTCCTCCCCAAGTGCATAAACATCAAATCATATCAAATCAAATCTGTCTGACTCTGAAAATGATTTGGATAGGGGTTCACACTTGTGAAGCTACCGAAACATTTTTGATGATGGACTTGTATCGTAACACTGTACTGAGCAGACAGTTTATGGATCTTGGGGTTTATCAAATGGTTTTCTGTGCATTTATCGACAGATGTCCAGATGTCGGTTTTCACGTCCAAGTTTCAGGGTATCCGGTATTAATATGAGCGTTGAGTGAATTTTTCATCCCCGTGTGAAGGTGATCTATGGTGATCTCCCAATTTTCAGTGACCGCAGGCCTGGCGAGCATCTGATGACAGATCCACATGGTCTGCTGGTTCATGGCTCAGCCAGGGTCGCTGGGTGGATGTCTTCACGGCACAAATGGATGGATGGAGATCCAATGGAGAGGGATCATTTTTCACGTAGCGAACTGGAACATCACTATGTTATAGCTAGGTAAATCATCATCATTCATTATATGTATATATATATATTATTATATTATGATAAATATATATATTATATGATATATAATGTCATATTCTTATCAATAAATCGAGGATTTTCCATATTTTTCAAGTTTGCGAAGTGTTAGTCAAACCCTGGGGGTACCGAGTGCGTCCTGTTTTGGCATCATAAGGTCCTCAGGAAGAGAAGGCGTGCCTGCCGGTTGGAGCTGAGCACGATAGAAGTTGGAAAATACGTCGAAGCCTCTGACGATAGGTCACATTGATATTTTTTTGAAGAAATTTGATGTGTTTTGCTAGTTAGTTCATGAGTAGCTTTTCGAATCTTTTCGATTAATCTATTTATCTAATTTTACCTATACGTACTATATATTGATATGATGATTATGAAGCTTGCAGGTTGAAGATATTGGAAACTGTGCCAAGTTGTCTCCATCGATATTTACAAGAGACAAGAACGAAGACTGAACACGTAACACCCATGTAGGAACTATCATAACTATCGTCCAAAATGCCACAATAGAAGCAGCACAGAACATGTGTCGCTAAACTTCGCTGAGGTCCAAACGACCTGTACAACCTGACGATGCCGGGTGACTCAGAATCCCTACATCCCGTTGTGTCGTGACTTCATGGCGCTTCATGCCTTCTCTCAGCGGTGCACAGATCAGGTTCACCTCGCCACCGAAGAATCACCGGCTTTTCTGGTTCAATGACAACCCGGACTGCGCTGTGCTCTGGTCCAGTGTTTTGGGGCCAGTGCTGCCCGAATGACTTTGTCATTTTTGCCTGACTTTGCACCCATTAGAGCTCCTGTAGATTCCAGAAGCGAGTTGCAGGATGAGACGATTCGACTCGATATTTTCCTCACCCAGCCTTTCCGACTAGAGGCAGCTAGTGTTATCCTGGCGTTTTGTATCGTTTTGTGCCATGTGACCATGTGACTGTAGCTGTTGCCTTCACTGCAGGTTTACGTGGACGAGGTTCTCATGTCCGAAGACCTGTACGACACCGCCAAGCAACTTGGCTCGCCATGAGCAATGCTAAGTTGACTTTTGTTAGCTGACGTAATATGTAGTTGTGTAGAACGCTTTTGGAGGAGCATACACAGTAAATATGTATATATATAAATATATTCCACAATCGTGTCTACTAAAAATTGATGGTAGACACTGGACACGATGACATGGCGTTTGGAATGTGAAAAGAGAACAGCGCAGAGCACCCCGTGGGAGTTTGCAGGCATTCTTACCTGAATTTTCACAGCTCATGTGCATTTTCAATCATTTTCATGTGTTTTGACCAGACATTTCCAGGGCAATATAATATCATCAATCAAAATTCATATTGCCCTGGAAATTTATCAAGATTTCCATATATATATATATATATCCATGTGCATTTTCAAACAGCTGCGTGGTTTCCAGCTGTTTCTGGCTTTCCTTCGCTGGGTGATGGTCATCGCCAGGAAATCTCCATCGCGACTGCCAGAACTCACGGACCCTCACGGCTCGTATGCGTTTGACCCACAAGCGTTCGGATGCTCAGGGGGGATTCGGAGGTTGTCCAGGTCAATGAGGTTGTCCTTAAACAGTTTGGGATACCCCAAAATTGCAGATTTAGGATGTTTTAGGATGATAATCAACTGAGATTTTGGTGGTCGAGTTTCAGACAAAGCCTACTATATGATACTTGAATTAGTTCTCTTGGCAATTTCAGGTGGCTATTTAACACACATCCTGAGTTTCTTGAAGCAGATGACAAGATCGTGTTTGGGACGGCTGAAAAGTAGATGCTACTTGTGGGATTTGAGGCGACGATTCTACCTCATCATGCAGGGTGGCATTTTCAATGGCAAGGCCGTGCCATTTGAAAGGGGAGAATGAATGAGAATGCCAGCTGTGATTCTTGAACAATAGCAAGCTAAAGCTTTGGTCCACGCAGAGGGTTGGCTGGATGCTGCAGAGAAGCACAGTTGACGGCGACGAATCGATGAACTCCATTGACGCAGACACCCTGTACTAGCTCTTGATAGCTGGAGCTTGGGATCTAATGTCATCTGTGACATTCTGTGACATTCTTCAGAACAAATATCCAATGAGTTGCATGGGATGCTTTTCCATCGCTGAAGCATTCTTTGTTGATCCCCAGAAACATCCAGAAACTGTACCATGGTGGCTCGACTGGCGCAGGCTGCCACCATCGGTGGGGGGTTCATCTCGTTGCGCTTGCTGCAGGCAGATGATTGGGGCATGTCTGAACATGGGGTATGTATGTATGTAATGTAATGTAATGTAATGTAATGTAATGGGATGGTATGGTATGGTATGGTATGGTATGTATGTATGTATGTATGTATGTATGTATGTATGTATATATTATATATACACTATATATATATATGTATATATTATATACCAGTTTGCCGGTATACCGTATACCACTCAAAAAGCAATCAAATAATTGCATATAATTGCCATATCACTAATCAATGATCATTTTTCTCCCCCATAATCTTCAGACAAAGCCATTGGGGACCATTGATGGGGCTGTCCTGTGAGGTGGTGCAGATCACCATGTCAGTGTGAAGACCTGAGTCACTACGCAGGGTTCAAAGTCCAAGAAAGTCGCCGAAGGTTCACAGGATAGCTGTACTATACCTTATTGATTGATATTGATCAGGTGAATTAGTAGTAGGGTAGATCTTACTGAGACATTCTGAAGTGAACACAGCTCGTAGAAGTCTATAAAAAGATGAGCAAATATCAGTGACTGCAGGGGTCTCGGTGTTTCCCGTGGTCTCGGGATGATGAATTTGTCGCCAGCTGAGGGCCATCCCCTTGGCCGACTTCGATAGCGTGGAACAGAACAAGTTTGTGAACAACGTCGCAACGTTGCAGGAGCCTCAGGTTCACATAGGTTCACCAGGTTTTTGACCAGTGAAAACTCTGGTGAACATCTCGATCTGTGCCCGTGGGAGTTGATGTTCAGCCTGCCTCAGTAGGTGCAGCCGAAAAACATCGAAAAACAATGGCGAGAAGCTCTGCAAAATGCACATGCTGGCCTTGGCCAGGCTTCAAATTCCGGCCTCGCGCATCAAGATTGTGTCTGTGCAATCCAAGGATCTTGGGCGACGGGAAAGGGTGCGAAATTTGGATCCACAAGACACAGTTTTGTTGTCTTTCGGTGCTGCACATTATGCCATTTGTTGGGGTTATTCCGAATCTTTTGAAGCATTTTGTTGGTTCGATCAGATGATTTAACTGAAACTGTTGGTTAGTCATGATTGCATTGAAGCATCGATCTTGATTCTAGTAGTCTGAATTTAACCAAATAGACCCATGACGAAACATCTTTCGTTGACCCCCGGCAGGCACAAGTGGCCGCGCAAGGCGGTCGGCTGCTGCAGGCGGGTGAAGTTCGGCGCTGTCCATGTCGCTTTCGCCAAACAGTTTGGTTACCCTCTGGTAAACTAACATAGCTATTGAAAATGGCCATTTATAGTGGATTTACCCATTCAAAATGGTGATTGTCAATAGTTATGTAAACGTTTACCAGAGGGTAAGAAATTTGGTGATGGAACTTACTATGAAACATCTATGAAAGAACATGAAATAAGATCCTGGACAAACTTGGCTTTACTTTCTGGGGACCCTGTTGTATCGATGCATCCCCCAAACGATTGATTTACATGGATTTGCACCAATTTATGGTGATTTTAACGGGGAAACTATGTTCTAATCTTCTAAACTATGGGATTTATGCGTACCATATTTTCAAATATTCTGGCAGCAGAACATGAAAAAACATTAGTTTCATAATTACTTTGTTTGAGATCATGTCGGTATTACAGGTCTTGACAGAAATAAAACCACCTGGATTTTCAACAGATTTGCTAGTGATTAGCGACCATATCACATCCGGGGTACCTTATTGAGGCTTGCCCGCAGGTCGTAGAAGCTGTCGAGATCGAGGTAGAGGATGCGGGCAGAAATCTCCAAGATGAAGGAGTGTATGGAACCCAGATTTAGATGAGCAGTGTTTAAAACAACCATTCGTTGATGATTATAGATTATAAGATTATAGGCTATAGGGGATTGTACTATCTATATACTGGGGATGATCACAATAATCACAATTATGGTTTCGAAGCCAGATTCAGATGAGTGTTCGTCAAGCCAGGAAATGCATGAGCCAAGCCAACGAGTTTTGTTTTTTCATCGCCAGCTCCCATAGATTTGCGGTTTTGTTGATCATCCCCCAATCTTTCTGGAATCTCCACTTTTCACAGGGTCAAAAAATCCAATGGTATCCTGGCTTTCACATCTAAGCCTCTAAGCTGACCAAAAATCATCAAAATTGGCAAAACACGGAAAAACCCTGGAACATCAATGAAAGCCAATGAACATAGTAGGGTTTTGACCAATCTCCATCTCTTTTTTGTTCACCTTCCACCTCACTGAGGGAAGTGATCTTCCAGGTGATCGAGGATGAGACCGTGAGTGGCGGCACGGGAGGCGGCGTTTGGATGACCCTGGGAAGTACATTGCTTGGTACCTTCTGGGGGTTGGTCCCATCTGCTCTATAAGCTGCATATTCCATATCATATATATATACACATAATTTTTACTATGTGTATAATTGTGTATACAGAGATATATAATAATATATCTAATAATATCCTAATCTATATATAATCTATATATAATAATATATATAATAATATATATAATAATATATATAATAATATATATAATAATATATATAATAATATATATAATAATAATATATATATATATGTATATGTATGTATAAATACACGTATATTGATAACTCTATGATTGTTACATAGTCATTTAATACGTGTATAGTGTTTTTTTGTGTATGGGACAATCTCACCAAGCTCATCGGTGCAGGTCCCGGAGCTGATGAATTCAGTGGGGCGGCGATCCTGGAGTTGCAGTCTTTGATTGAGCGCCTGGGACGGGAGAAATATCGATGGACGTACCCTCTGGTAAACTAACATAACTATGGAAAATCACCATTTTTAATGGGAAAACTCACTATAAATTGCCATTTTCACTACCTATGTTAGTTTACCAGAGGGTAACAGAAAACCATCATTTCCCCTTTTGGATTTTCCGATTTTCCCACACCCATTGGACAAATTGAAGATTCAGATTGGATTCAGATCTACTGAACTTGTGATTTGCTGGAACTTTTGGGAACTTTTGCCATTGTTTCGTATGTTTCGTTTTCTGAATATGCCATGTTTTCTCGGATATTTTTAGAGACATCAGCGTCAGACGGAGACTCCAGGCAGACGCATCAGGAAACATTGAGCCCGGAGAGAGATATGGGTGTACAGATATTGAAACTCCAGTAGTCAAACATATTCAAACATGGTAATGGAAAGTATGGAAAGTCCACCATTGATGTTTTTTATTTTTATTTTTCATTTATAGAATGCCCATTTAGTTTACGGAATTTCCCAGCCATATCTAGCCATACCGAGGACCTTGTTGAATGCCTCTGAAGTCGGGGACCCAGGCTCTCCCTCCGCAGGCTGCGCGGCACTGTTTCTTTCTACGATTCTATCAGAGACACACGAAACATGATATACCCTCTGGTAAATAAACATAGACCCTGAAAATAGCCAATTTTTAATGAACACTAATCTTCCAACCCCTATCTGGCAGGGTCTATGTTAATTTACTGGAGGGTAAAATGTGGAAAAAGTACGTGGGATCTATTGTATGATGCCAAGAAGTTGCAGGACATCTGTAGATGTCTGCCAAGTTTGGGCATGCCTCACTTTTTCTTGCGAATTCACAGGGTATTGATGGGGAACACGCTGTTTCATTAATGGATTTGGGGCAAAAACACAATGCTTGGACCATGCATCTGAGACTGGCACCCTATCCTCATTCCTGGGATTCAACGTGGTGCTGGAAAGTGCTTGGACCTTAGCAATAGGCGAGCAGTGGAAGTGTTTGACACCCCTGTTGCTTGATTTATGTTGATTTTTACGGGAGTATTATATATATATAAATCTATAAATCTATATATCTATATATATATATCTATATATATATATATATCTATATATCTATATGTTAATGTATGTTGATTTATGTTGGTTGATTTATGTTGATGATCACAATCCATGAATCCATGAGGGAAATCCATGGAAATCCGTTCAAAAAACCAGCCAGTGCAAAGGGACGACCGAGGGTTTTGAAACCAATGTCCCGTCTGTGTGGGGTATAAAATTGCATAGTTGCCCTCAAAACTACGGGAAAGGCTATGAAACTATGTAAGAGAGCAATCAGGCAATGTGGTAAAGCTAAGAATAAACAATCTCCAAATATCTTTAATCAGTTTTTTTTTGGATGTACCTCATTGCAGGAGCATAGGTGTCTTAGCCGCACTCAGGTCGAGCTGACTGATGTGCCCACGGACGCGACAGATAATACGGCTGGAAATTCCACGGTGACCCAAACCACCGTAACCACCACGTTCACGTCCACGGCAACCACCTCAACTTCAACCACTGATCCGAACTCAACAACTGTCGCTGCCTCAGAGCCGTCCAATGGTCTGCACCTCCGAAAGCTGAGCCAAATTTCCAGGAAGCCACGGAGGAACCCATCGAGGCAATGGCAGCCGACCCAGTTCATATGTATATATATAATATAATATAATATATATATAGTGATATAGTGATATAATATACACATATCTACAGTCTATACATTTTATGGATCATACATGGATCATACAGATTAACCACTTCCTAACTCGGATGCTCATCCGAGTAGCAGACGTCAACGGCGGTCCATTGGTGTCGCAGGACCCCACAGGTGCCTTGGTGCAATCGATCCTCATTGGGGTGCCGGCCTCAGTGAGCTGCAGCCCTTCCAAAGTAGCTGCGTATGGCATGGCTGCAGGCTGTCGTCGGTATTGGAGTTGGAGTCCTTATGATGATAATCGGTTACCTCGTGTGGAAGCCAAGTCTGGAAGTCAGATGTCCGAAAGGATTTCGGAAGTGATTAAATAAGATGTACGAACATTTGGATGTTCTTCAGGCAAGAGCGGGAAGAAATCGATGGAGTTCGATATGGTTTGATCTGACAGTCGTCTAGAACTATGGAGTTTTCATGATCAGGAGCTGTACATGTGAGAGCAACTGTCAGCCTGACAACCTGAGGTGAGAAGAAGAATGTACTCGCGCAACGCCAGATCCTGAGGGTATGTAAAACTCTCTATCTCTCTGTGGTTTGTTTTCTGTTTGTGGAGTTTGAGTTTTCTGTTGTTGTGTAGGTCCACGCTTCCTATTCAGAGGGTCAACAAGAGGCCCTCAACCCATGAGGACAGACAGTCACTCCAGGGACCGATCATGCAGAGCATCAGAATCAGTGGAATCCGAGTGCCCTGCCAGGAGGACCCTAAGACTAATCAAGATGAACAAGGGAACGCATCAAGTCACAGCCGCTCCTGGCCAAACTGGCAGTGCCACCTTGGTTTGATGCCGATTTTTAGAGAATGCCCAGCAAACAGCAACGTACTGATGGCACATATGATCACACATCATACTCACAACGATCATAGTCCAAATAGTAATAATGACAATAATGATACAAGAATATACAAGTAAGAATTATAATCACAGCAATAATGATTAATGGCAATGATAATGATAATGACAACAGCAGTTATAACCATGGTTATTATTATTATGATGATGATGGTGATGATGATGATGATGATGATGATGACTGTGATGATGATGGCGATGACGACGATAACGGTGGTGATCATGGTGATGGTGGTGATGATGATGATGATGAGGATGGTGATGATGGTGATGATGGTGATGATGATGATGATGATGATGATGATGAGAAGGAGGAGGATGCTGGTGATGACGATGATGGTGACGGTGACCATGATGGTGGTGATCATCATTGTGATGATGGTGATGACGATCATGATCATCATCAACCATGGCAGTTGAATGTTCCACTATCCATCATTCTGCCATGATGGATTCCACGACGTCAACCCATGGTGGAGTCGCCCAGTGCTGGGATGTTGAGCGTCGAGCGAAGGCTGTTTGAGCCTTCCATAGTCGTGCACGCCACAGTTGGGTCCACGTGTTGGCAATGCGTGGTTTTTTTCAATGTCTTTTTCAGGTTTTCTGTTTGCAAAAACAAACGTTTTCTGTAATCGATACAATTTCGAGCTCTAGCTCAGCACCACCCAACTGGATTCGAGATACTAAAGGGATGTGCTTTGCTGAACCGAAAGCACTCCGAAAAGCACTACGCCCTCGTTGGGTCTCCAGGCATCAACCTTTGCCTGCTGACCATTTTCAGCACTGTTGCAGGGACTGAGAAGCTGTGCGCATGAAGCAGTGCCTGTTGCTGGCGTGGAACATTTGAGTCCTCGGCAAAGTTCTGACAGTTCCATGCTACCATCGCCACCATCGCATCTGCGAGTGTTGACCAGAAAGTGTCAACCTGTCCAGAGCCAAAGAGAAAATCCAGGTGGGTCTTAGCTCTGAACCCACTCGAGCGCTTCTACGGATGATTTTGCAAAGGGTGCCGTAACTTGTTCTGTCTTGTACCGTTTCAGCACCGATATATTCCCAGGTTGATTTTTTGGATGTGTCGGTGTTGATTGAATCCAAGAGAATAGTCATGATTAGTCGGTGACGTGATATTAGTGATTGTTCTACCTTTGCGTTGGTTGCCGCATGGCACCGGTTGCATCTGCAGAGGCTTCACGGCTTGGTCCAAAGCCCGCGGCCTAAGTGCCCCAGGATCTCTGGTGGTTCATGCCAGCCTCAAATTCTGTGGAGTCCTCCATTGCATCGATTTTTTTTGCAGTGGCAAAAAGGGAGACAGGATGTCAAGAAACATGTTTGTTGTCTGAAAATTTTGGGGAACACCCCAAATCCAGCGGTTTATGATCGTTTTCTCCCGTAAAATAACGTGCATACCCCATTTTCAGACAATTTCGCATGTCGCAACCACCTTTCTTGGAATTGCACATCAGATGATTGTCAGTGCCGAGGGTTTTCAGAGGCTTGAGCTTGCCGCTGCGCTATCCTTGGCTCAGACATTGAACATGAAAAATCGGAGTGTGGAGCATGGCCTGAGCCTCAGATGGTCCACTCGAGTTTGTCTTGAAACTCGTCACTTGAACCATGGCACCAGTGTATGATGATGCATGTTGTGCCAATGATGTGTCATAGTCATGATGTGTCATGCTTGAAACTGGTGACTTGCTACCGTTGATTCTATTTGTATGGAGGCATGGAGGTACGTTGGCATGTACTGTAATTACCAGTAGTACCGCACAAGGCGGTGGCGGAAGTTTCAAAAATGGGAAACCTATAGGAGAGGTTGGTTGTTGTGAATCACGGATGGCAGAGCGAATCCACTGATGGACCGAAACGTGGTTGGAGTTGTTTTTTTGGAGTGGTTGCAATGGTTGCAGTGGTCACCTCACCACAACTGCTGGATGTAGTGTGGTGTACTGCAGTTGTAGTTGTAGTTGTAGTGTAGCGTAGTGGAGTTGTAGTTGTCATGTAGCGTAATTAGTGTAGTGTAGTTGCAGTTGCTGTTGCGGTTGTAGTTGTGGTGTGGTGTAATTAGTGTAGATAGTGTAGTGTACTGTACGGTAGTGTTGGTGTAGTTGAGTCTAGTGTAGTGTAGTGTGAAGTAGTGTAGTTGCAGTTGTAGTTGTAGTATAATGTATGTTGATTAGTGTAGCGTAGTGTTGTGTAACGCCGTGTACTTGTGGTTGCACTTGTACTTGTGTTGTAGTGTGCTGCAATGTAATTTGTGTAGCGTAGTTGTAATTGTAGCAGTGGTAGTGGTAATTGTTGTAGTAGTAGTAGTAGTAGTAGTCGTCGTAGTGGTAGTGGTAGTGGTAGTAGTGGTAGTAGTGGTAGTAGTGGTAGTAGTAGTAGTAGTTGTTGTTGTTGTTGCTGCTGCTGCTGCTGCTGTTGCTGCAGTTGTAGTGTAATTAGTGTAGTGTAGTGTAATTAGATGTAATTAGTGTAGTGTAGTGACAGTGTAGTGTAATTAGTGTAGTGCAATGCAGCGTAATATAAATATTTGCATTTGTATTTGTAGCCGTAGTTGTAGTAGTAGTGGTAGTGGTAGTTATAGTTGTTTATCTAGTTGTCTATCTGCAAGCTTGAAAACGAAGCTATTCTGTGAGACGTCCTCAGTTTTTGAACATGACAACGTCAAAAACGAAGCAATTCTGCCAGACTCCCTCAACTCTTGAACTTGATAACGTCAAAAACGAGACAAGTCTGCGAGACTTCCTCAATTTCCGAGGTTGACAACATCAAAAACGAAGCAATTCTGCGAGACGTCCTTCAAAAGTGGAAAGTTGAGTGCAGAGCTGACGGCCTCGTGCCAATGCGTTGTACTGCGCCTGCCAGGAAAAAGTGATGCCAGGTCATGCGAAGTACTGGACCTGTCACACAAAATCATATTAGGAAACCTGAAGATCTCATACTCCAAAATGCAACCGCTCTCAGGAAATCTCTGCCCTGATCTCCTAACATCTCTGATGAACATGTCTCTTGTATTGCGCCTGCCACGCGTATTTACGGATCCTCTTCAAATGTCCCACGCCTGCCATCGTTTTTGGAAATGCTACAAAACCTTCACGTTTTGAAGCTTTGCTCGCGGCTGCCACGCGAAACGACATCTGAACGCCCAAAAGTGCTCCGTACCCGTCAGTTTTTTGCACTTTTGAGCGTGCACTTTTTCATACTTTTCGACATCTCAACTTCCAAAAGTGCTCCCAGAATGGCGTGTTTTGCACATTTTGACTTCGAAATGTGCTTCGACATGTCAACTTCCAAAAGTGCTTCGACACTGAGGTGTTTTGTACATTTTGAGTTTTGCGCCACAACGCCGTGCACTTTTTCGACATCGCAACCTCCAAAAGTGTTCCGAACGTGAGGTGTGTGTACATTTTGACATCGAAATGTGTTTCGCGCCACAATGGCGTGCACTTTTCGGACATTGCAACTTCCAAGTGTTCCGAATGTGAGGGGTGTGTGTGTGTACATTTTGGCACTTTTGGCTTCGAAACGGATTCGAAACGTGCTTCTCGCCACAACGGCGTGCAACTTTTCATCTCACATCTGGCCAGATGGCTCCGCACCCGCCGCTTTAGCGAGCCTACTTTTCGACCCTCCGGAGCCACAAATCATTGGAAAAACACAGTGTTTCGCAACTTTTCTACCTTTTCGCGCACCTGCATCTTCTTTCTTCTCACTCTTTCTCTTCTCTAGTCTTGTCTCTTCTTCTCTTCTCCTCTCTGACTCTTCCCGCCTCTGCTTTTCCATCTGTCCATATTGTCGGAAGTTTGACTTCTAAACTTCCTTCGACGACGATACTACTAGTAATGAGAGCAACGAAGAATAGCAGAAATGAGAATGTTAATAACTATGACAGCCAGAATCTGAATCACACTAACATGATATACATATATACACGCAGATATGGTAACCCCCTTAAGCCTACCATTTTAACTTTTTTTTAATGGTATTTACGATGTTTTTAGTTTATTTTGCCCTAGACAAAAGCAGCCTAGATTTTGAAGTGATTTTCAAGTTTTGTACGCTTGAAGGTGAGGATGTTTGAGATTATATGTGTATATACGAGGATATTTTTTGCTGGTAGTTGCAATACGTAATTGACGTATTTTTGGATATTCTTTTGTGATCCCACCAGATGGTTAAGTCCAGGCGTTGAGAAAATGGCAACGGCCTTGTTGTGGCTAAATGCAATTTTGCAAGTTTACGCAGTTTTTTTACAGTGTTTTTGTTGTTTTTGGCTACAGTATATATGAGATTCTGGAATTTCAGGTCGTTTTAAGGTTATGAGCATCTCACGTTGATGTGAGATGATATCTGTAGATACGATGCTAGATTTTGCGGGTATTTGCAATATTTTTTGGATACTCTATTCTGCAGATGGTTGACAGTTAAACATGTACAAAATGGGCACGGCGTTGAAACCAAACACAAATTTTCAGATGTGAATGTGTATTGGTATTAGAGCATTCTTGTTGCTTTTTGGTGTGTATGTATATATATATATATTTATCTAATTTCAGGTTTCCATATTGTTTGACAATTTATAAATATGTATAATTTTATTACTGTTCGATGAAGTAGAGGCAACAGAAAAAACATAATAATCATATTTCCCGAGAGCGTCTGAGCGCAGGGTTCTTCCAATCGTGGGGGTCTGTCTCTCATCTTCTCATCTTCACATCTTCTCATCCTCACATCTTCTCATCTTCACATCTTCTCATCTGCACATTTTCTCATCATCTTCACATATTCAAATCCTCACATTTTCACATTTTCACATCTTCTCATCTTCACGTCTTCTCATCTTCACATCTGCTCATCTTCACATCGTCTCATCTTCAAATCTTCTCATCTTCACATTTCCTCATCATCTTCACATCTTCACATCTTCACATCTTCTCATCTTCACATCTGCTCATCTTCACATCTTCACATCTTCACATCTGCTCATCTTCACATCTTCTCATCCTCACATCTTCACATCTTCACATCCTCACATCTTCACATCTTCTCCTCTTGCCCTCTTGCCCTCTTGCCCTCTCCTTCTTTTCTATTTCTCTTCTGAAGGCGGGGGCAGGGGCAGTGCCAACGAGACGGCACGAAACGCAACCCTTTCGCACGAAATGAGGTTCGATCGCTAAAAACTGAAGTAAAATTGCGATTTCCAAGTCGTCCGGGCAACCCTTTCGCACGAAATGAGGTTCGATCGCCAAAAACTGAGGCAAAATTACGATTTCCGCGTTCCCGTCGCAACCCTTTCACACGAAATGAGCTTCGACCACGAAAAACTGAGGCAAAATTGCGATTTCCGGGTTCCCGTCGCAACCCTTTCGCACGAAATGAGCTTCGACCGCGAAAAACTGAGGCAAAATTGCGATTTCCGGGTTCCCGTCGCAACCCTTTCGCACGAAATGAGCTTCGACCGCGCAAAACTGTCGTAAAATTGCGATTTCAATTTGTCCCGCACAACCATTTCGCACGAAACGAGGTTCGCTCGCCAAAAACTGAGGTAAAATTGCGATTTCCATGTTATCCGGCGAAGTATGCAAAAGCTTTTGTTTGTAAAAGCCTCTGTGTGTAAAAGCTTCTGTGTGTAAAAGTTTCTGTGTGTAAAAGCCTCTGTGTGTAAAAGCGTCTGTGTGTAAAAGCTTCTGTGTGTAAAAGCGTGCTGTCTGTAAAAGCGTCTGCATGTAAAAGCGTCTGTGTGTATAAGTTTCTGTGCGCAAAAGCCTCTGTGTGTAAAAGCGTCTGTGTGTAACAGTTTCTGTGTGTAAAAGCGTCTATGTGTAAAAGCTTTTGTGTGTAAAAGTGTCTGTGTAAAAGCTTTTGTGTGTAAAAACTTTTGTGCGTAAAAGCGTCTGTGTGAAAAGGCCTCTGTGTGTAAAAGCGTCTGTGCGTAAAAGCGTCTGTGTGTGAAACCGTCTGTGGTGTAAAAGCGTCTGTGGTGTAAAAGCGTTTGTGTGTACGAGCGTTTGTGTGTAAAAGCGTCTGCGTGTAAAAGCGTCTGCGTGTTAAAGTGTCTGCGTGTAAAAGAGTCTGTGTGTGAAACCGTCTGTGTTCAAAAGTGTCTGTGGTGTAAAAGTGTCTGTGTGTAAAAGTGCCTTGTGTGAAAAAGCGTTTGTGTGTAAAAGTGTCTATGTGTAAAAGCTTCTGTGTGTAAAAGCTTCTGTGTGTAAAAGCTTTTGTGTGTAAAAGCGTCTGTGTGTAAAAGCTTCTGTGTGTAAAAGTGTTTGCGATGCAAACTATTGTCTTGTACTTGTGCTTTATTGTCTTGATACTCCTCTTCTCGACTGCCTATAACACATCTTTAATATATTGTTTTGTAATATGGTGTCTCCATACTAACCAGAGAAGACCCTGCTCCTCTACGCTCTCGGGCCATCTGTCGTCTAGCTTTTGATCACCCATATCCAATATATAGGGCAAATACTCGTCGTATACTTTTACTTAGTTTCAATCTACCGTTGATATACCGTTTTACCAACCATGGATAATGCCTTTACCAATATACTATATACCTTTTAATAGACCATTAATATACGTTTTTAAATTTAATACTTCTAATACACCTTTAATACACCTTTAATATGCCACTTAATATATCTTTAGTATACCTTTAATAAACCATTTTATTGGCCATGAACATATCTTTAATATACTGTTCATATATCTTTAGTATACCTTTAGTTTACATTTTATTTACCATTTAATAGTCGTTAATATACCAACTAATACACCATTAGTCTTTCATTTCATATACCATTTATATTCCATTTAGGATACTATTAATATACCATGTCATATGGACCATTTCACATGCTGTTCACACCTTTAGCACAACCTTGAAGACATACCTTTAGTATGCAATTTAACAGACCTTTAGCATACCATTTAATACACCATTAGTATCTTGAATATACCTGTATTGTACCTTTAACTTACCTTGAATGCCTTCAGTATACCATTTCATATGCCTTTAATGTACCATTTCGTATACCTTTAATCTACCATTTTATATACCATGACTATATCTTGAATATCTTGAATACAACTGTAATATATATATATACATTCCATGTACCTTTAAAATATGTTAAAATGCTTTTAATTTACCGCTTAAAATACATGTAATATAACTTCAATATACCATTTCATATACCTTCAATATACCATCTAGTACACCTTTCAATGTACCATTTAATATATGATAATCTACCTTTAGCAGACCTTTAATATATATATGTATATATGTATACCATTTACCATTTCGTACACCTTTAGTATACCAATTCATAAACCTTCAGTATACCGTCTAATATTACATAAGTATGCCTTGAATTTACCTTTCAGATACCTTTATAATATACCTTCAATATACCATATAATATACCTTGAATATATCTGCAATATACATACAACGCACCTTAACATACAATTCAATATCAGATATACATTGAATATACCTTGAATATACCTTGAATATACCTTTAATACCTTTGAATATTGTTCACAATACCTTGAGTATACCTTCATTTTAGTGGCCATGCAATATTTTCAATATACCTTTAGCGTACCTTTGATATACCTTTACTGGCTATTTAATTTGTCTTTAATACACAATTTTATTGACTTCCTAAATACACCTTTAATACATGGTTTAAATACCATCTAATACACCTGTGACATACCTTTCAAATACCATCTAACATACCTTGGACTGCCAGGATAAACCTTTGTACTTAACAGAAATTCCAGAACAAACGTTTGCAAACGTTTGCAATCTTGAATGCAAAACTCCTCTCGTTTGCAAACGTTTGCAAACACTTGTTCTGGAATTTCTCTTAGGTACAATCTATATATATATATATTTACATATCGATATGTATAGTATAGATTATGTAACCCCCCGGGATATGATATTAATTACAAATATAGTCCAGACATGTGATAAACATGTAAAAAAGGTAGGTTTCAGGGCTCATCTCCAGGCCATTGTGCAGAAAGCTTTGGAACCCGTCCGGGACTGGCGGCAGTACCGAGCATGGATGGCGCGGGGGGGTTGAAGTCGGTTGAAGGTTGAAGTGTTGAATCCTTGGGTGTCGCAGTGACTGATAGCAAACAACTGAGCAACTCTAGCAGTAGCAAGGATTTGAGGATGTGTGAGGTCTGTGAACATTGTTTTGAAATGTTTTGGATGACTTTCCACAGGCTTTACAACCTCCCAAACCCAAGCCGGAAGGTGCGGCTGAACTGGTCACTGACGGTCACTGGAGTGTTGGAGTGACCCAATGCACGCGGCAAGGTGAGAGCTATGGATACAGAAGCACGTTGGGCATAGTAGGCCTTGGAATGGGCATTGTTTCATTTGGGTCATGAATCCTGAGCTTTGGGCGTGCAGGCGTTTCTCATGACTAGTTGTGCTGGCTGTGTTCACGACATTGGCAGTAAGAAGCATGCGGAAAAAGTAGATCGTAATGATCATTAATTATCAATATAAGTATGTATATGAATTGTGTGTGTATATATATATTGTACCTTATTTATTTATTATTAGGAATGATCATTGATGATAGCTTTCAGACGTCATTTGTTTGAATCTTGCAAGCTGGAGGTTGGTCTTGCATTGATCCCGATGATTATCTTCCGCCAGCTTCACCATCCCTGCATGAGTGGCGGCCTCGGCTTCGTACTTCAAGCATTGGATCTGTTCATTTTGGGGTCCCAAGTGAGGGGCATTCAATGGTATTCAATCATTCTTTTGGCAGGATGGCGTTACTAACCAGATTGGGCATTCTCCAAAGTTCGGCTGTGCCGGCAGCGTGCCGAGGTCGGCCCTGTACCAAAAGCCTGTCTCTCTGAAGATCCCAGCTTTAGATGAGACACGTGCCAAGTGGGAGCGCGACAGAAGCTATCAAGCCTCCAAGTATGGAGGATCTTTGGTACGCCCACGCCCTCCAGTGGTCAGCAGCATTTTTGATGGTCAACAGGAGGTTTCCTTTGCCAAAGGAGAAGTTCTCTTTAAAGCCATCATGTGACGAATCATATGAAGTTTGTCTTTATCTCATTTTATCTCCTCACCTTTCCCCCAGTACCATCCAGCACCCGGAAAGGGAAGATCCTACCAAACCGACGCCCCCTGCGCCAGCAAGCCAGCGTCGAACGAGCTCGCTTTGCGGTGGAGATGCCGGAGAGCCCTCAGCACCGCTTTCCTGGCATTGTTTCACTGGAGTTTGTGCATTTTTATGACGGACTCACCCCAAACATGTGAATCTCAGAATGCGGAAATCAAGCACATCGGAATATTTTTGGGCAACATGATGGGATTTGGGAGTTCCAAATTTGGAGACAGCTGCACCTGAGTTGCCTTGCAATTTCAAACTGGGTCAAAATTTGAGGCTTTGAAGCCCTGAGAACCAGAGGTTTCGGTAGTTTTTTTTCTGTAGGAAACCATCCAATTGGAGAACTCCATTCAAGATTGGATACGGTGTGGAATTCTTTAGGCCCGCTAAATCCTGTCTGAAGGGACTTGAATCAAGTCACTTGATAGACATTTCCCAGTCACTTTCCCTGAGCCAGGCAAGTTCTGCTACGACTTCCAACCGGACGTCAGCAAAAGTGAAATGGCCATGCAACTTGCGAAGGAAGCGGAAGAAGCACAGGAGGAAGAGAGAAAAATTGCGAGGCACGAGGGAATGCTGTTGTGTGGAAGAGACGAATGTCACACGATGTGAATGTGCGACGAATGTCAGCATGCACTGTAGTGGATGATATCAGAAGAAAGCAGACACGCACATGAATCAGAAGTACGGCTTCCATACTTCCGTATGGTTCCATGAGGTAAACAGCACATGACCAAGCTGAGGCGCAACTCTTTGCAAAGGATCAAGGGTGATTTAGGAGGACTAAGTCCCCTACTGGAGGAGCTGCAAACTTTGATGCACCGTGGACGGTTTGAGAACTTGATCCTGTGATCCTGTGAGGAAAACCTGGACCCTTCGCGGCGGTATCGCTTGGTGGAAAAGCTGTTGAGCAAGAACAGTTGGGTCCCCGGCCACTCAAAGTGATCAATTGATTGCAGTTAACTCATATATATATATATATTTATTATAGCTTAGGAGTTGTCACAAGTTCTCACCTGTCTCGCAAGCAGTGAGAGAAAACCACGACATAAAATAGCTGAAGTTGTCCACACGGCATCGATTCTTTGAACCTTTGAACAGGATTTCCAGAAGATACACTGCAAAAGATCTGGGAAGAGCTTGAGCAGGTTCACAGCAGCAGCCTTTTCCATTGCAACCGCTTTCTTTTATTGCACACATTCTCCTTCCCTGTGATGTATGCACAGAAACATGCGCTGGCTGCTGACCCTGTAGGATCATGGACAACATAGGATCGTTGGATATCGTTGGACAATATTTCAGATGCGGACAATGGCGGACAAGAGAGTGTATCCAAAGATATCTACATCAAAAGTTGCTTGGCAGGGACCTGCAGCAATATCATCCAGAGCTATCGTGGATCCCTCAGTGTTTATTGTGTCACAATCAGCAGCTTGGCATCGATGGAACTGAGGCCTTGAAGCTGATGCTAAAGGTCAAAGGTGGGGCCCACTTAGACTGTCTGTGGTGACTAGCTATGAACCAAAAAAAATCTTCCTGCGAACGTGTGTATAATTGGATGATTGGATGAACCATGATAACCCCCAGTTAGAAGTTCTTATCACCTTACCAACCTTTATCACATCCAGGAGTGTTGTATCTCTTTCCAGTAGCAAATCCCCTGTGACGATCGTGGGAAGGTCACGGCAATGATTTACCCCCATATATTTACTCTGACATTGGATGGTCCAATGTTGAAACATGTTGAAACTATGATAACACATTGTGGGTAAATTTGGGCTTGTCCCAAAAATGGAGGATACTCACAGTTTATAGCAAGTTTCATGGGGAAAATTGGGAACATGCTGTTTTAAAACCATGGGTACCCTATTTTCAGACACCCTTGGAGCTCAACGAACCGTGATTTCTTGCGCCAGCTGCGGCTAACTTTCCCGCAAGTATGGAAGTCGGGCCCTCAGAGGAAGCCACTGAACCCAGTCGAGTATCTTTAAAAACGTTTGGACACACGAACACACTCGACAAGTTGAAGGGTGAAGTATAGAGAGAGAGAGAGAGAGAGTGGCTATGGCTGATTCAATCTGCTAGATGCTGATCTTAAACCAAGAATAACCAAGGCCAACATCTTCAATTTCTTGAGGAGCAAACACAAGGAGTTTGTACGCAGCTTGGTGACCTCAAAGCCGCTATGCCGAATGCCGGGCCTGCGCGGCCTGAGCGAACGCTTGAGCCTAGGTCAAGGAGAGGCCGGAGCTTCCGGTGAACCAGGATGGTTTCATCCAGTTCTGCCGCACAAGCGGCTTGTTGCTTGAGTGAGCCATTGCTCAAGTCACGAGAGGTTCAGCTTTTGGGCAATTTTGCATCAGTTTCTGTGGAGTTGCGAAGGACTTGGAGGCCGAAATCTTAGGAAACCTTGCCATGTGCTTCCAGGTACGACAAGGATGGGGAATTCTTACCCGTAAGGCCAACACCAAGGATTGAGCCAAAGGAGCCCCCAGACGACGGGCCTTACGGCTTTGGCTTTTGAAGATTTTCGGGCCTCTGCCAGCGGTGCAGTGGGGCCCTGATGCTGTCCTTTTTTACGAATCGACCCTAGGTCTCCAGGCCGAAAACTATGCTTTTGCATGGCCAAAAAGTAGTCGCTACTGAGTAGCTTCCTGATGCCATCCTTCAAAGAAGGTCTTGTGAGCATCAAAAAATACGGTAAGACGAACCACGTCCTCAGCATGTGGGGCTGAGGCTTTCGGAGGAATTCTCAAAACGCGCGCCCAGTTTGGAACCCTTTTCTTGATGTGTAGTAGTGTAACTGCAGGCGGACATGTGATGCTTCTGCATGCTTCTGCTTCAATTGGGGTAGTTTACATCAGTTGTTTACACGACCACATGCTCGCATACTTTCTGCAAGTCTTGGATTTGTCGGCCAAATCTCTCATTTTTTCCACAGCTGTTGAGTGACTCAAGCCAGGCACTCGATGGAGCCAAAGCTAAAACCGGGAGTCTTACCATGTTTCAACGCTTTGCCGCCTGTCAGGCAAGACGTCCCGTGGCTACGTGTTTGGTCACCGGAGCCTCTGTGATGAGCATCGGTGACTCGGCGGTGCAGCTCTGCGGGTCGGGCACCTTGGACCTCGAGCGCAACGTGGTGGTGAGTGCATACAACGGAGGCAGCGAGGGACATGGGGAGACTGATTTTTTTTGAAACCTCTATTTGCGGGTCAATGCAACGGTTTCTGCCAGTTTGATCTTAAGCCAATCCATCCAGTGGTACAACTGTGGGGATACGGTAAATCAGTGTAAATCAATGCACATGTAAACCAAGCCAAATTATTGATGGGGATTGGCAACAGCAATGGTGGGGATATTTCATGACAATTCATGACATATACCACCGACAACTGATTTCGATCGGAAGATGATTCCAGCCGAGGAGTTTTTTTTGGATTCTTCTGGTTATGAGTTCAAGCCAGGATTCCCAAGATAGGATCAGCTACGCCTTGACCAGCAGCCCTGAAAACGGAAGTTGCAGGATGTCGCGTGAAACAAGTCATAACAAATCTTATAGCCTCGCATCAAGCCTAGCATTCCAGTTGCTGCCACATGAAACTGGCCCCTCGCGAGGGATTTGGATGATGGAGCTTGACTGGAAATCCAACAGCTTCCGTGGACGATGGGTTCTTCCCTAGATCCACAGCATTCATGACTGTAATTTCTTAAATAAGTACCGCATATTTGAGTATGTCTGAAACTAGGGTATATTCCCAATTATAGCCATTTAATAGGGATAATGATCATTAACCATTGGGTGTAGGGGTACACTATTTTCAGACAAACCCATTTGGCTCATAAAGTGCGACCGGAGGCAGATGCTGCTTTCAATTTGTGCTACGGTCAAGACTTGGGTCAATTGCCCATCTTGGGGAGTTGACATCAATCCAATCGTAAGGATGTTTATGTAATGACAGTTAATGACGATATTTATGATGGCCAATGGAAGAATATCTTCCATCGTGGGATGGACGGCCATGGGCCATACCTCAAAATCATCCCATGATTACATCATTTTGCATCACATAACTTGACTTTTGCCATGGCAACACAGCCGTAACTAGCCCCCAAAAAATTGTGCCAGGTACCTCACCCTTCTTCTACTTTTGGTGGCAGCACCTGGACGGAATGTGGCCTGGAAAGGGTGTCGCAGCGGTTGCGAGAAAGGCCTTGGTGAACCAAGCAACGATGGCGCCCTTCAACAGTGCCCTCTTTCTCACCTGGAGCACCGCATTGGAGCCCCCTGTCCTAACGAGGTGACACGGGTGAGATGGGTTGACAAAAAACGAATGTGGTACACAACCTATAAACCATCACCAATTTCTCCCAATTTTAGATGAGTTTCCATTGAGCACGGAGGACGCGCGGAAATTGATTTTCGAAAAAGCAGTCACTTGCAACCACTTGCAGCCACTCGAGTGGCTGCAAGACAGCAATAGACCGCAAGTGGCCGCAAGTGGCCGCAAGTCACTTCCTTTACCAAGTAAGTCAAGTCGGTCATTTGCAAGTGACCGCAAGTGCCCGCAGGTGACCGCAGGTGACCCCAAGTGACCGCAAGTGACCGCATGGTCACGGACAATGTTCCACATTTTAGAGCCCACTCAAACGCATGAAAGAGCTCCGCAATTTCTTGACCGGAATGAAGCACAGACGTTGAAAGGAGAAGGGGTGACTTGAAACGAACGAGGCAGGACCTGACATAAGAAGGGAAAGACTTGAAACGAAGGAAGGGATTTCAAAACCAAAGGATGTGTGGAAAACGAAAGGCGTTCTACACCCACATCATGCAAGGAGCTTACTTTGAGACGAAAAGAGGTAATTTTAAACGAAACCAAAAAGCGAAAAGGAGTGACTTGAAACTCAAGAGGCAGGACTTGAACTAAGAAGGGAAAGGCCTGAAACGAAGGAGGACTCTCAAAAACATCTCAACACAAAAGGACATTCTGGAAACTAAAGGGAAAGGAGCATACTTTGAAACGAAAAGAGAAAAGGGATGATTTGAAACGAATCAGAGAAGTTGGAACGACAAGGGGTGACTTGAAACGAAAGAGGCAGGACCTGATCTAGAAGGAAAAGACTTAAAAGAGGAGGCTACAAAACGAAAGGATGTGTGGAAAGCGAAAGAAAAGTGAGGTTTTGGAACAAAAAGGGGTGATTTGAATGAAACGGAGAAGTTGGAACGAAAAGCGCTGACTTGAAACGAAACAGAGACGTTGAAACTAAAAGGGGTGGCGGGGCGTAGCTGCTAGGAGCAGATACCCAGAGAAGATCTTCATTGATGCTACGCTGAGAGATCTTCTCTCCAACTTCCTGACGTTCTATCAACATCGATGCTACGCTCAAGAAATCTCTTCAACGTTCAAAAGTTGTACCATCATTGATGCTACGCTACAAGATCTTCTCTGCTCTGAAGCGTCCATAGATTTCCTAAAAATCATGGGTTGTACGCTCTAAGACCTTCTTCTCAAGTTTCTACCATCCTTGATGCTACGGCTGTGAACTTTCAAACGTTTTACCATCATTGCTGAAATTTTGTTCCATCATGTATGCTACGCCACGCTCTCAGTTTTTTTTTGGAATCATTGATGCTATGCTCTTATTTTTTGAGTTTTTGAACATCATTGATGCGGAGCTTTAAGATTTTCTGTTCAATTGTCTAACATCATGGACTACACTCTAAGATCTTCGTTGGTGCTGCGGCTGTGAAGCTCTAGATCTCTTCAACCTCCAAACATTTTTCACCATTGATGCTGCGCCATAAGATCTTCTCTTCAATTTGCTAACATGATTGATCATACGCTCCAAGATCTTCTCTTGTTGTTCTAACATCGTTGGATCTCTAAGATCTTCTCTTCAGGTTACTGCCATCATTGGTGCTACGGCCCAGAATCCCCAAGATCTTCTCTTCATTTTTCAGATCCCATTGGTGCTACGCTGTAAGATAATCTTCTCTTCAATTTCAAACATCATTGGTGCGACGCTCTAACATCTTCTCTTCAACTTTCTAACTTTCTACCATCATGGATGCTACGCTGCAAGACTTTCTCTTCAGTTCTCATTCAGTTTTCAAACGTTCTACCATCATTGTTATACGCTCCATGATTGATGCAACGCCCTGAGAATCTCTTAGATCTTCTCTTCAAGTTTCAAGCGTTCTACCATCATTGCTGCTACCCTCTCTAAGATCTTCTCTGAATTTTCCTAACTTCAAGGATGCTACTCTCTCAGAGTTTTTATACCATCATCAATGCCGCATTGCCACGTTCCAAGATCTTCTCTTCAATTCCCTTCATTCGAACCTGATTGATGCTACGCTTCAAATCTTTTCTTTAACGCTCTAGCAGCGTTGGCGCTACAGCATTTGGAAGCAGGTGAAACGCTGTGTCCCTCCGAACTTGAAATATGAGAGCAAAGATGTTCCTTTATATGAAGATGTTTCAACGGCGATTGTGGCACACGGACAGCAGAGAACTTCTATGGAAGCTCACGGCAAAAGCTGTGAAGCAACAGCACCTGCAGGTGAAATTAAAAATTGCGAAGAGCAAGACTTCTGGAAACTTTGCAGTGGGAGTCTAACTCCCGAAAACCGAAGCAAAATGCGACTTGCCAATTTTTCGTTGAATCATCCCAGGAAGAAGGCAGACAATATATTAATATATATATATAGATAATATAATATAATAATAATATACATAATATATAAATATATATACATAATCAATAGTACTGAAGGCAAGTAAGGTGCCGCAAGGGCTCTGACATCCTGGCTGTTTGGGATGCTGTCAAAGTGACCCACCAGACCATTCTGCATAAAGGAACGGATTCCTTAGCTGGCAGCTATCGACATGTCCACCGCAGGAAGAGCAGCGTAGATGCACGTTTGAGGAAATTGCGGAACATTTTCCATGAGTTGCCCTGAAAATTTTCCATGCCTCTAGCTGGGCCGAGTCGTCTGACTGAAGGCACCGCAAATGGTGAGTTGCATGCAGCCAGGGGATTCAAAGGATCACTTGCGGTCACTTAGTGACCGCAAGCGACCGCAAGTGACCGCATGATAGCTGCAGCAAGTGGCCGCAAGTGACCGAAAGTGACCGCAAGTGACCGCGAGTGACTGCGAGTAACCGCAAGTGACCGCAAGAGACAGCATGATAGATGCAACAAGTGACCACAACTGACCGCTGGAGCAAGTGACCACAAGTGACCGCAAGAGACCGCATCTTCCAAAATCAAAACCCAGCCCGAACACACGCTCTCTGTGAGTTTCACAGAAACGGATGGTTTAAAGATGTTTAAAGTTTAAACTCATGTTTAAACCGTTTCCAAATTAGGAAGGCGCACCTGAGGTTTCTGACATGGTACCAGATTCGGGCAGCCATGGCAGCTCGCCAACATGGATGCCTTGCTGAGGTCGTGGATCAAGAGCAAACATTTTGAGAGCAAGGACGACCCGACCGCACTGAAGTGCCTTTGATCGACGCAATTGGCCTGATAGGGCATTCAAGGTGGTAGTAATTAGCCGATAGTGCGCTTGGGAAGTTCATGGATGTTCATGGTCACTGGATCCATCAGAATGCAGTGTGTCCGTGCTTAGAACTGCCCAGGTCCAAAATTTGGGAGAAGGCTGGAGCATTTTTTTGGCTCACCTGTCGATGTTGTTGGGTCTCTATTTGCAGGGGTTCTGCAAGACTGGATAGCATCGCCCGCAGATTTGCATGGGTCAAGATTTAGAACAGACGGGCCCACTATTGACTGAAGCATCCGTTTTTGTCCCTGCACTCGACAGGTCAAGAGCAAAGTTCGATCAGAAATACCCGACCTGGTCCTTGCTCAATGTGGCTACTGGCTTCCTGCAAACGCCGTCAACTTTATGAAGCTCGGCAAAGGCGTATTTTGCAGTGTGTTCAGTGCGACATTGTGTGGGTATGGCCCAACAGAAAGGTGCAATAAGGTGCAGCACCTCAAAGACCGCGTCGGGTTTTGTTGCCGGTTGAACTCGGAACCCAAAGCAGTGTTCAAAACCATAATGGACGATCATATTTTATATGCTTATATATTGATATATAATATATGTATGTATATATATATAATTACTTACTGATTTGATAGTGTAGCTACCGTCGTGATCATCAACCAACCAGAGGTGAACGCATCCATGGCTCAAAAACACCGAGGTTCATGCCGCAGCACCTTCGAGTTGTCTTCATGTCTTCCTGTGCTGTGATATGGGGAGGATACATCAGCTATGTGGTGCATCGGTGATCACAGGGAATCCCAACCGTGCTAAGCTATTCATCACTGGCCATATCCAAAGATCTGGCTGAAGTATGATAATTTTAATTGATGATGTTGCCATAGGTGACCGAAGGAAGTTTAGAAGTCAAACTTCCGACAATATGGACAGATGCAACAACAGTGCTGAGAGCAGTCAGAGAAGAGAAAGAGTCAGAAGAGAAAAGAGTCAGAAGAGAAAGAGTCAGTAGAGAGGAGATCAAGGTGCGCGAAAAGATAAAAAAGTCGCGAAAGACTGTGCTTTTCCCAAGTTTCTGGGTCGGAAGGGTCGAAAAGTAGGCTTGCTAAAGCGGCGGGTGCGGAGCCATGTGGCGGGATGAGAGATCAAACATAGCATGCCATTGTGGCGTGAAGCAGATTTGGAAGTGAAAATGCTAAAAGCACTTCAGCCCCGAGCCCCTTTTGCACGTTGAGATATTGAAAAAGTGCTCGCCATTGTAGCGCGAAGCACATTCCCAAGCCAAAATGTTAAAAAAGACCTGATTACTTTTGGAAGTTGAGACGTTGAAAAGTGCACGCCGTTGTGGCACGAAGCACATTTCGAAATGAAAAGGGTAAAAGCACCCCAGCTCCGGAGCACTTTTGGTAGTTGAGAAGTTGAAAAAGTGCCCGCAATTGCGGCGTGAAGCACATGTGGAAGCCAAAAGGGTAAAAGCACCTCAGCCCGGAGCACTTTTGGTAGTTGAGAGTTGAAAAATGTGCACGCCGCTGGGGCGCGAAGCACATTTGGAAGTCAAAAGTGTTAATCTCTGATGGTCTCGGACGCTGCTTTTTGTGGTCCGGATGCGATTTTGCGTGGCAGGCGCCATGGATTCTGCGCCTTGTCAAAAGTGAGCCAAGCGTGTTGGCTTTGCAGCAGTTTCAAAAAGGATGGCAGGCGTGGGACGTTTGAAGAGGATGCGTCAGGATGCGTCAGGATGCATGTCGTGTGGCAAGCGCAGTTACAAGAGACATATCCAGCAGATATGTTAAGAAGCCAGGGTGCTGATTTCCTGAGAGGGGTTGCATTTTGGAGCATCAGATGTTCAGGTTTGCTAAGATGTTTTTATGTGACCGGTGCAGCACTTCGTATGAGATGGCGTCACTTTTTCATGGCAGGCGAAGTACCTTAGACAGATGGAGTGGAAAAATCGCAAAACGAATTGGTACGAGGTCATCAGCTTTGCACTCAACTTTCTATTTTTGAAGGAAGCCTCGCTTTTTTGATAAAATTGAGGAAGTCGCAGAATTGCCTCGTTTTTGACGTTGTCAAGTCCAAAATTTGAGGAAGTCTTGCATTTTGATGTTGTCAGGTCAAGTTCAAAAAATAAGGAAGTCTCGCAGAATGGCTTCGTTTTTTGATGTTGTCAAGTTCAAAAATTGGGGAAATGTCGCAGAATTGCTTCCTTTCAGTTAGATATGTAGATAGATAATGGATAGATAGAGAAAGAGACAGAGATAGAGAAAGAGACGAGATAGAGAAAGAGGTAGAGCTAAAGATGGGCATGGAACTGGAGATCGACAGAGATAGCTAGATAGGGATAGGTAGGTAGACAGACAGATAGGTAGAAAGATAGAGGGGGAGAGAGAGAGAGAGAGAGAGAGAGGGAGAGAGAGGGAGAGAGAGGGAGAGAGAGGGAGAGAGAGAGAGCGAGAGAGAGCGAGAGAGAGGGAGAGAGAGGGAGAGAGAGAGAGCGAGAGAGAGCGAGAGAGAGCGAGAGAGGGAGAGCAAGAAAGAAAGAGAGAGAGAGAGAGAGAGAGAGAGAGGGAGAGAGGGAGCGAGACAGGGAGAGATAGGGAGAGATGACCACGAGATTGGGAGAGATGACCAGAGAGACACATACATGGACAGAGAAAGAGATAGATAGTGAGAAAGAGAGAGCGAGAGAGAGATAGATAGATAGATAGATCGATAGATGGATAGATAGACAGACGGACAGACAGACAGATAGATAGACAGATAGACAGATAGACAGATGGACAGATAGATCCATAGATCCATAGATAGATGAGATGAGATTAGATTAGATTAGATTCGATGAGATTAGATGAGATTAGGTGAGATCAGGTGAGATTAGATTAGATTAGCTTAGCTTAGATTAGATGGATAGATAGAAAACTATATGCAGAGAGACAAAGAAAGGAGACTCAGAGCCTCAACCACCTTTCGGTCCGCCAGTGGGTTCGCTCTGCCATCCATGCATCACGACAACTCACCTTTCCTATAGGTGTCCTATTTTTGAAAGTTCCGCCACCGCCTGGCGTGGTCCTACTAGTAACTATTGCTAGGAAGAAAACTAAAAATGCCCCAGTGATTTTGTTTCAGATCGGTGGTTCATCATAGTTCGGCCAGAAACATGGAATGGCGACTGTACGAAAGTGCCGGCTGAACAGAATCGTTGGCTCGGTAACGAAAAACAGTCGCTAGTCAATGAGAGAAGTGCAGCTCAGCGCTGTAGCCTGTGCTATGCCACTGGCGGCCCTGACCTCCCAGCCTGACTTTTTGGCCGCGAGACAGAGTGATTTCCAGATTGAGCAGTGACAGAAACCTTGATTAACATTGATTCGCCACGGTCCCATGGTCATCAACGAGCGCTAGCCTCATACTATCCAACATATTCTAATCAGTTCTGATGCTAATAATTTTTAATCAGTCCTAATCAACAGTAGCACCACTCCACATCAGTCTGTGTCAGTCCTTTTGTAAACTGCTCCATGCTGCGGTTGGGGTCCCCTGTGTTGTCCAGACACTGTACAGCGCTTCAACTAGTTGCTCGCATCAAGCCGCTGCGACTGTGATGCGAACTCACGGGAGCTGGTTGTTTGCCGGTATGAGCCCAAATATCCCCACTTTCTGCGCTGGTTTTGGCGTCACCGGAAACCCGGTGCCAAAATTCCAGTGTGGTCAATTGGCTCTAGCTTGCAACAGCAGCTCAAATGGCAGAACTGGCCATTTAGATGCCGAGAGAAAATTGGTGGACCTCCTCTTTCGTGGCTGAAATCTCCAATGCCGGCAACACAGCAGCATACACAGAGAGAACTACCTGCCGTTGTGCTAATTCTGCTTTGGATATTGCAAAGCAGGCTCAAATGGGACTTCGGCCATAGTGTAGAAGTCTGAGCAATGATCTTTTCATGGCGTTTGAGCTGCTTAACTTTGAACGACAGCTAGCTAGCAGAGAATGCGTGGGATATTGTTTCCGCTACGTGTTTACACGTCACCCCATGCGGGCGATGGCGTTTTAGAGGTGCCGAATGGTTTCCGTGTGCAGTTTTTTCGAATTCGATCGTTTCACGGTGCCAGGATGTACCAGGAATGATTGCCTTGGCTTCCTGAATAGGCCGCCCCGCTGATCGTGGAACAAGGGTCACCTTTCACACATCAGCTGCTAGTCCTCGACACGGTTGCCCTTGCCTTCACTCTTCACCTCCCCCACAGCGCATTCAAAGGCTTGTAGGCATAAGCCTTCTGGCCATACAGTTCCCAAGAACAAGTGTTCACAGTACAAAGAAACCGGACAAAAGCACATAGTTTCTAAATGTTTCTAAACAGTTTCAACATTTTTCCCCGAAAAACAAAAGCACTCGCAAACAAGGGCTCCACAAGACAAGCTGTGCAGGGAAAGTACAGCACAAAGATGGTCAAAGACTACAATTCTGGGAATATAGTTATATAGTTCTCTTGGAAAAAGGTTTCCAGAACCTTTCAGGTTGCAAGAACAGGATTGCCTTGGAAATAGGACATGTCATGTGTTGCAATGACTTGTGGGAACGAAACATACTCGAATCTGGCGCTGGCTTTGGTCTGAACCTCACTGCCGCTGTGAATACCCAAATGCCAGGCTGGCGACGGCCGTTCTACGTTGTCAAGAAGGTGCAAGAAGAGCATTCATTTTTAGTCAGTGTGAAAAGCGAAAAATCATGTATAGAATCTTGATGTCTGCAACTTTTCCAACAGAGGTCGGGGCTGAGGCTGGATCGGTCTGTACATGTTTGTACCGTTATAACCGACTCAGGTCGGAACACATCAGTGTCATCTGCAATCACGAGACATGGGTCGTATTGTAGAGAGATGTAGAGAGCTTAGTTGCGAGGAAGGGGCAGATTTGGACAACAGCTCAGTGCAGATTTGGTGTTTGAATGTTGCATCAGAGACGTTGAAAGATCATCAAAGATCTAGAGTCGCTTTCTAGAGTTCTGTGCAAAAAGATGCAACAATTTATTTTTATCTACATCTCAGGGGTGAATTCAACCTTCACACAAGAAGAAGGGACAGGCCTGGATTTTCATGATATCGTGACAGTTGTGAGCGGTTCAGATCATCAGAATGTGTTCAAGTGCAGTGCGGTGAACAAATCTATCAGCACGACTTGCAGCCTGGCTCCAACAATTTCTTGACCACACACCGTTTGTTTGAAGACATTTTCTTCCATGGCGTTTCGCTTCTTGCTGTTGACCATTCTCGCAGTGCAGAGTGCGGCGGTTCGTTTCGGCGTGGATCTCGCGAATGGCAAGGCACATGGCCAGCCGCCATTCAAAAAGAGCGATCGCATTGCCATCGTGGGTGCGGGTCCAGCGGGGGTTCACATGGCCAGCCGCCTGAAACAAATGGGCTACACCAAGACGGTCCTGTTCGAGCGCTCAGACCGCGTAGGTGGCAAATCTCTGACGCTATACTTGAATGACACCGGAGAGTGCATTCAGCAAAAGGACAAGACAGGGCAGATGGACACCAAATCCTGTGTCGCACATGACATGGGCACATGCTTTCTACACAATGGATACCATAGCATCGTGGACTTGGTGAATGAGTACAACTTGACCACTACGGTTGCACCTGAGGGAAGAGCAATGTTCTCTCATTTTGCCAAAGACAGCTTCAGTTCTCAAAGCATGCAAGAGTTCGTGACCTCCTCAATCATGGACGGCGTCAAAAAAGGAACCATCAAGGTGCCTTGGTATGCCCTCACAACAAAACTGAAGGTGCTTGGTGCTTTGATCAGTGCTGTAAAGCAGTACAACATACTTCATGAGAGCCTCCTTGGAAAGGTTGAATTCTCAATGCCGCCTCGACTGAATGCAAGTACTTTACAAAAGATCAACATGACATTCGCAGAGTTCTTGGAGAAGAACGATTTGCACGCACTCAGTGGCTTCCTGATGTTTGCTCACGCTGCACAGGGTTATGGCTATGTAACCAGCATTCCGGCCTTGTATGGGCTTTGGTGGATCTCTCCCGAGCTGCTCAATGGATATGTTCAGATGAGCTTTAGACAGCAGCTCGAAAAAATTGCAGACTATACGACGAAAAACAAAGCTGGCCGAATCTGTCAGTCCATGCGGGGTTGCTGGGTACGTGGCCTGGTGTCTTGGCTAGTCGGTGGAGAGGCCGGCGCCGTGAAACGGACAACCACCATGCTCCCAGAAGGATATCAAAAGATTTGGACCACCATAGCTGAGAAGGATGGTTTGGACGTTCGCTTTGGAGTTGACATCTTGGAGCAAGGCATCGACCGACAACTTGCTTCCTCTTCCAACACACCCATTGTGATCAAGTACACCCAAAACGGAGAGCAGAAGACGGAAGAATTCCAGTTCCTTATCTACTCAGGGCCACATGCTCATGCCAAGAAGTATGTCAAGGACCTGGCTGACCAGGAGCAGAGCATCTTCTCAAAGCTCAAAAGCTTCGTCTTGGCGACCACCCTCTATGCCAGTCCGCCAGTGAAGGACTACACAGATGAGAGTCATCAGTTGCCAATTATGTACAGTGCAGACAAAATGGCTGATTCCTCGCAAGATGGTTCGTGGTATGCGGATCGCTATGACGACGACATCTTTGCCGGTGTTTGGAATCCAACGATGCAACCTCGAGTTGGCTATCAGTTCTATGAAAACTACGAGAGTGATGACAGCCTAAAGGACACAGACCGCACTCCTCTTCGCAACAAGAGAATGAGCTTGGCCCCAGCAGTCTTGCATCGTTTCAAGCAGGAACTGGCCAAACAGCTCGTGACGAATGTCACGATCATTCGCCAGTATCCATGGCCATACTTTCATCACTTCGAGCAGGAAGCCATTCAAGAGGGCATGCCATGGGATTTGTTTGAGATGCAAGGTGAGCGGAAGACCTGGTGGATCGGTGCAAGTGCTTGCTTCGAATCTGTCCATGATGTGACAAACTATAACCTCATGCTCTTGAGCAAATACATGGGAGCTCAGTTCGAAGCTGGTCGCATCGTGTAATCAGATCAGTGATGAAACACACGCAGAGTGCCACAACAGTCAAAACATGCCTGACTGCATTTGGTATTTGTCAACATAGGATCATAGGATGCACAAGGATGCACAACATGTTGCAACAATGCTACTTTGAAGCTTACTTTCACTTGCCTTCACAATCCTTCACATTTGTATCATTTTTTTTGGCCAATCTTTACATTGTGTCGCACAGGAGCTGAAAGCAAAGCTACAGTTTGAGTTGTGGCTTGCTTCCTTGGTGGAAAGCTAAGCATCTTTCGCTGGCTTTGCAGCCAGAGCTGGAAGATTCGTTTTGCGATTTTGGCACCCTTGTCGACATTTTAGGAAGCACTTTTCAGCACCATGCCACCAAGTTGCTAAAGCTGCTAAAGCCCCATGCTGTAGAAGTGTGTGAGTCTCGGCATGACTCATTCTCTGGCGTCTTGTTTGGTTGTTCCTAAGTTTCGTCATGTTTCAGCAGGTGCTTTCCATGGCAGGCTACAACAGGACAAAGACTCCCTGACACTGCAAAGGACGTAGCCGCAGAGACGCTCTTTTCTACATCTCAGGGGTGAATTCAACCTTCACACAAGAAGAAGGGACAGGCCTGGATTTTCATGATATCGTGACAGTTGTGAGCGGTTCAGATCATCAGAATGTGCTCAAGTGCAGTGCGGTGAACAAATCTATCAGCACGATTTGCAGCCTGGCTCTAACAGTTTCTTGACCACACACCGTTTGTTTGAAGACATTTTCTTCCATGGCGTTTCACTTCTGGCTGTTGACCATTCTCGCAGTGCAGAGTGCGGCGGTTCGTTTCGGCGTGGATCTCGCGAATGGCAAGGCACATGGCCAGCCGCCATTCAAAAAGAGCGATCGCATTGCCATCGTGGGTGCGGGTCCAGCGGGGGTTCACATGGCCAGCCGCCTGAAACAAATGGGCTACACCAAGACGGTCCTGTTCGAGCGCTCAGACCGCGTAGGTGGCAAATCTCTGACGCTATACTTGAATGACACCGGAGAGTGCATTCAGCAAAAGGACAAGACAGGGCAGATGGACACCAAATCCTGTGTCGCACATGACATGGGCACATGCTTTCTACACAATGGATACCATAGCATCGTGGACTTGGTGAATGAGTACAATTTGACCACTACGGTTGCACCTGAGGGAAGAGCAATGTTCTCTCATTTTGCCAAAGACAGCTTCAGTTCTCAAAGCATGCAAGAGTTCGTGACCTCCTCAATCATGGACGGCGTCAAAAAAGGAACCATCAAGGTGCCTCGGTATGCCTTCACAAAAAAACTGAAGGTGCTTGGTGCTTTGATCAGTGCTGTAAAGCAGTACAACATACTTCATGAGAGCCTCCTTGGAAAGATTGAATTCTCAATGCCACCTCGACTGAATGCAAGTACTTTACAAAAGATCAACATGACATTCGCAGAGTTCTTGGAGAAGAACGATTTGCACGCACTCAGTGGCTTCCTGATGTTTGCTCATGCTGCACAGGGTTATGGCTATGTAACCAGCATTCCGGCCTTGTATGGGCTTTGGTGGATCTCTCCCGAGCTGCTCAACGGATATGTTCAGATGAGCTTTAGACAGCAGCTCGAAAAATTCACAGACTATACGACGAAAAACAAAGCTGGCCGATTCTTTCAGTCCATGCGGGGTCGCTGGGTACGTCGACTGGTGTCTTGGCTAGTCGGTGGAAAGGCCGGCGCCGTGAAACGGACAACCACCATGCTCCCAGAAGGATATCAAAAGATTTGGACCACCATAGCTGAGAAGGATGGTTTGGACGTTCGCTTTGGAGTTGACATCTTGGAGCAAGGCATCGACCGACAACTTGCTTCCTCTTCCAACACACCCATTGTGATCAAGTACACCCAAAACGGAGAGCAGAAGACGGAAGAATTCCAGTTCCTTATCTACTCAGGGCCACATGCTCATGCCAAGAAGTATGTCAAGGACCTGGCTGACCAGGAGCAGAGCATCTTCTCAAAGCTCAAAAGCTTCGTCTTGGCGACCACCCTCTATGCCAGTCCGCCAGTGAAGGACTACACAGATGAGAGTCATCAGTTGCCAATTATGTACAGTGCAGACAAAATGGCTGATTCCTCGCAAGATGGTTCGTGGTATGCGGATCGCTATGACGACAACATCTTTGCCGGTGTTTGGAATCCAACGATGCAACCTCGAGTTGGCTATCAGTTCTATGAAAATTATGAAAGTGATGACAGCCTAAAGGACACAGACCGCACTCCTCTTCGCAACAAGAAAATGAGCTTGGCCCCAGCAGTCTTGCATCGTTTCAAGCAGGAACTGGCCAAACAGCGCGTGACGAATGTCACGATCATTCGCCAGTATCCATGGCCATACTTTCATCACTTCGAGCAGGAAGCCATTCAAGAGGGCATGCCATGGGATTTGTTTGAGATGCAAGGTGAGCGGAAGACCTGGTGGATCGGTGCAAGTGCTTGCTTCGAATCTGTCCATGATGTGACAAACTATAACCTCATGCTCTTGAGCAAATACATGGGAGCTCAGTTCGAAGCTGGTCGCATCGTGTAATCAGATCAGTGATGAAACACACGCAGAGTGCCACAACAGTCAAAACATGCCTGACTGCATTAGGTATTTGTCAACATAGGATGCACGTGGATGCACAACATGTTGCAACAATGCTACTTTGAAGCTTACTTTCACTTGCCTTCACAATCCTTCACATTTGTATCATTTTTTTGGCCAATCTTTACATTGTGTCGCACAGGAGCTGAAAGCAAAGCTACAGTTTGAGTTGTGGCTTGCTTCCTTGGTGGAAAGCTAAGCATCTTTCGCTGGCTTTGCAGCCAGAGTTGAAGATTCGTTTTGCGATTTTGGTACCCTTGTCGACATTTTAGGAAGCACCTTTCAACACCATGCCACCAAGTTGCTAAAGCCCATGCTGCAGAAGTGTGTGAGTCTCGGCATGACTCATTCTCTGGCGTCTCGTTTGGTTGTTCCTAAGTTTCGTCATGCTTCAGCAAGTGCTTTCCATGGCAGGCTACAACAGGGCAAAGACTCCCTGACACTGCAAAGGACGTAGCCGCAGAGCCACGCTCTTGGAAGTCTTCGGGAGGATGTAAATGCCTGACCTGAACGCATGTGTGTTTTTTTTGAGTATAGTGATAGTGTTCCTGAAAGACTTGCAGGTAAAACTCGAATCTGAAACATTCTGAAACGATCTAAAGTTCTAAAGGACATTGCAGGGAGAGATTTTGCATGTGATCCCTTCGCGGCCCTTCGGATCCTTCGGGGGGTTATGAAAATGGCTGAAGCATGCTGAACCATAAAGGCTGCAGTAAATCCCTAGTTTTCTTCAGTTTGGTTGATTTGAATTTTGTTTTGCATCATTTTTGTCCGCTTGCTACTTGTTCTACTTGTTCTGAAGCTTCGAAGTTTGCATTGCAATGCAACATGGTTGGACACGTTTGCTGGTAGTTGAGCTTGATCTGATAGAAGAAATGAACTAGCACCTCATCGAGAGAACTGGAGGCATATCATTCCACATTCAGATTTTCATAGACTTTCGCCCCAATCAGATTGGTAGCCATTTTATCGATGATTATTGACTGATTATTGACAGGTAGGCAGTAGATTCATTGGACTTTGTAAATTTGTTCTGTTTGTTTTCCTATTGATGGCCTCACCCTCAGCCCTCGATGCCGCATGAAAAAAGAGATTCTCAGGCATGGGCCAAGTGTGACACCAAAGGGCTGTTTCGCTGCGGCCAAAAACCGATGCGATTGCCAGTCATCAGGCATCAACAGGCATGAGAATGAGCACAACAATTCTCTTTATTTAACATACATTTATTATCATTTATTCATGAATATGGTAATGAAATGTAATGAATACGTTCCATTATGAATATCTCTACTGAACAAGCAGTAGAAACAATTCACATCAGTCTGTTTCAGTGGTTTGGAAACTGCTGCTTTCTGTGGTTGTGACCCTGGGATCTCCCATATTCCAGACACTGTACAGCGCTTCAGCCGCTGCGCTGCTGTCAACTGGCCCTTGCAACAGCAGCTCAAATGGCAAACTGGCCATTTAGATGCCGAGAGAAAATTGGCTGCATGGCAGTGGCTGAATTCTCCAGTGCCCGCACACAGCAGGATACGCAAAGACACTACCTGCGGTTGTTGTGCAAGTTCTGCTTTGGATTGCGCGAATCAGGCTCAAATGAGACTTTGAAGCAAGACCGGCTACAGTTTAGCTATGTAGAAGTCTGACCATGGCTCACCAAATTCTCGTTTCATGGCGTTCTTAGCTCCACTCATGAGCTGACGTCTGAACCGCAGAGAATGCGTTGTACCTTGTTTCTGCCACAGGTTTTTTAATTGGTTTAAAGCTATTTACAACTCATGTTTTTTCATGCGGGCGATGGTGTTTTGGAGGTGCGGACCTGGCCCTGTGAGGCGCAGCGGCATTGAACAAATGTCATCCCATCCTTCGGTGCGACAGGAACGATTGCTGGATTTCCTGAGCAGTCCCGCTGATCCTGAATGGGAACCAGGGTCGCAAACCCCCGTGCCTGAAAAATTGCCGCACCAAAGTACTGTAAATGAGAAATACATTCAGAAAATGCCAAATCTCTCGTCTGTAATATATGTCATATATATATATTATAATGTGGGTAAAACAATCATAAACCATCCCCCAAATCACCATAAATAGGTGATATAAACCATTCCCAAATGGGTGGTTTATTATCGTTTTATCCACATTATTTGTGATCGATGTTTTTAGAGAAGTCTAGGGGCGGCACTCTTGGCAGCTACTTGGCGGTGAAGAATCTGACTTATGTTTTTTCACCACTTGAACCACTGACTCAGCTGTTTGAATCAAGATCGCCATGCTACAAGCAGTCCTTGGGACCTGAGACAGAATGTGAAACATCTTGTCAAACGGGTAAGCATTTTGCTGAAACACCAACGGTTGAAGTTGACAGAAACACAACATGTGACTTTCCTTTTTGCTACTTAGCTACTTGCAATAAAGAAAGAATCAACTGGAGAAAAGACGCAGCACAACGCTGTTGATCCTCATGGGTGCTTCCGTTGGAACAGCAGTGGCTGTCCTGTCGCTTTGCGCGCATGGAGGACTGCACCAACCGCCATATAGTGCGGTGGTGTATTGAGTGAATAGACATCAATAGACATCAATAGACATCTTGAAAACCAACAATTCATATTTCGCCTCGTGAAGTTGTCGGAATCGCAAGGCGTTGCAGACTCTGTATCCTCTTCAAGTGGTGTCGTGGCCCAAATGTCTGGCACCTTCCTTGAGGCATGGTGAGGATGCTTGTGGTTCAGTTTTCTTTCTGTCCCGGTCCTTCTGTTTCCACCACACCAGTCCTCTTCCATTGCCTGTGGAAGCAACATAGTGACTACAATCTTTTGAATCCATGTTGTGGAATTTGCGTTGACATTTCGCATGAGGGAAAAAACAAGGGAAGGGCATAGCTGGCACAGGTTGCGAACACATTGTTGGTCTCGTTCGGTTTGTCTGAAATTTTCCTGCGGAAGTGATGATCTCAGTGGTCCGAGTGTTCCTACACCTGAAGCAGTCGGAAATCTCTCAATATGATTCAATATGCACTATGGCCTGATTGCAAACATCTTGAAACCGAAACTGACTCAGCAGCCAACCCTTGGCCATAGGATTTCTACGTATATCTCCCAGTTTTGGTGGATGTAGATCATAAAAGACATTTTCGTGGGTGATGCGACCGTCCAGTTTTGTGGTGAGGTGCCACTGGCGACAGATCTGCTGGACTTTGGTGCCCTTGACAGTGCTCAACGTCTGCAGCCTCAGCGAATGTGGGAAAGCCTGCCATAAACCTACCATGACTGGGGATGGTAAAGCTATGTGGCTATGGATCAATACCTATAAGTACCATTTTTAGTGGGATGAACATCCATTTACCAGCTATTTTGATGTTCACCAGGGGTACAAGGTTTTGACACACTGCCATATATGTAAACCTAGAAAAGATGGTGATTTTGGGGATGGTTTATGGCATTGGGTCTACCACATTAACCATGTTCTTCGGTGATTGCTAGGCTCCAAGCTACAATAAACATCCAAAAACTCTGACCGCCGTGGTGATATGGCCTATGAAGTGCTCAAACTGGACCAATCTGGACCACTGGGCTTTAACATGCTTCAAGATCTTATAAGATCTTTAAGCCTCCATTCTTAGGCAGATCTCCATTTTCTGATCTGAGGTCCTGATGTCTGCACGACTGCAGAACGTCCTGGGATCTTTGAGCGGACTCGTCTCGTCAGGCGCAGCGCCCTGGGGGGAATGGGAATTAGCTGGAAATTACGCAGATAAAGCAGATATAAGACATACATATATACATATATATATATACATATATATATATATACATATATATATATACATATACAATATATACATATATATATACATATATATATATAGATCTGAAATATAAAATAAGATACGATCAGATTATGATTACACACGCAAGTGGCATTTCCATCTCTCAGATTCTGTTGGAAGAAAGGTGAATGCATTAAGAGCTGCTTCAATATGTCCATGTTTTACGTCACTTCAACAGTTCAAGCGCCTTGCCAGGAGCCGGGGATGTGAGTGCTCAAGAGCCTTCGGAGCCGATCGCCCCTCGGTGATGGATCCCGGGGCCCGGGGGGGGTTGGGTGTTTCCGATGTCATCCGATGTCCCAGTGATTCCTTAGTTAATAGATGTTACCCTCTGGTAAACTAACATAACTATGGAAAATCACCATTTTTAATGGGAAAATCCACTATAAATGGCCATTTTCAATAGCTACGTTAAATTACCAGAGGGTAATAGCAGATCACCAATCAACTTGTGGGTTAAACATTGTGCCCAGTGACAGCTTGGAGGGCCGGTTTTCGACTGAGACCAGGCTGTAGTGGGGGCCATTTCTCCTTCTTTGTGTGCGGAAATGGTAACCTCAAGAGGACCATAATGGGGGCCAAGACTTCGATGCTTGAGTATTTTTTGTGATTTTTCTGCAAATATTCAACATCGTTGTGGAAGAGCAAAAAAATGTTTCGAAAACTTTTCCGGTGAGGGGAGCAGAAGCAAAGTAGCGCAAAGAGGCTGGTTCCATTTTTTTTCGACACTATCATGATATTATTTCTTTTGCGATGTAAGAAACACGCAACTGATCAATACCAGACTTGTTGCAGTGTATTAAACCCCAGCAGCCTGGTTTCCAGCCTATGGCTGGTGTCCAGCTTCTTCATCCCCCGACTGATCACATGGCCATTGGGGACATCTCCAAACTGTCCCTAAATGAACATCATTTGGACAACCAAAATAGATTCATGAACAACATGGGGAACGTATGAGAACATGGTAACTGGATGTGACTGGTGGCTCATCCCGAAATCCCCAAAATAGGTTTGTCTAACCATACGGTGCATCTAAATCCACTGATTTGTCATAAGTTTCCCATATTTTCTCTATGAACACCATTTGGGGGCCGATCGATCCCCCACTTTCAGACAACTCCCAATAGGAAATCATGGAACATCCCACATAACCAGCCCCCTAAAAATGGGAATCCCCGGAAAATCATAAGCAACAAAGTAAGTAAACTCCCTCGATGCCAAGACCCAGGCGTTAGCCATGATGTTGTCGCTGTCACCAGCTCTGCAGTGCATCTTTCGCATCGCAGTGGTGCTCACTGGCACCTTGGCATCTCAAAATTGGCCGAGCTAAAATCATCAGTTTTGCCAGTCCGAAATGATTTCGAAATGATTTCGAGGTGGATCTAAAGTAGCAATGAATTGCAGTTTCTTTGATTACCCCAACTGTTGCAAGAAAAGAGATAAAAGAGGAGTCCATGGAGGTACATTGGCCCACGTAGTCAATATTGTTCATGGCTGATACATGCTGATACACATTTCCGTGAAGCACTCAGGTTTTTCCATGCTGGCTTATGTGGACCTGCGGCGGATGAGACAGTAACTTGCTTGAATCTTGGTTTCCTGGAGGGATTTTCGACTGGAACTTGGGTGGATCAAGGACAAGCCATGGGTCTTTAGTTTTTGGCGACGCAGGTTGTTGAAACATGGTGAAGATTCCTTCCATCAAAAATCATCAAAAGATGGTTGTGCTGGGAAGAAGCCACCTGTACTTGCATCCTGAGGCAGGGCTATGGTCCCAAAGCCTTTGTCGCAGAACTTTGGGAAGCATTGAAGTACGTCCTTCCGGTGTCTCGCCGAACAGGGAAGTGATCCGGAAATAGACCGCAGCAGTTTGTTCATTTTTGGCATATTCATCAGGGTACCCGATTTCTGCCCCATAGATGGGGCATGCTCAGCCAAGGTCTACCTGTTTCTGGTTGCTTCCTCAGAAATGATGCAAAAAATTTGGCAACTTTGCAATGGGGAAAATGATGATAAACACTGATAAACCATGGGATCGGGGCTGGGGCTATTCTCAAACAACCCCACTTAAGAATTCACACATCCCGCATTTTGTCCTTTGTCCCATCAATTTCCAGCAGTTTGCAAATCACCCAGGTGATGTGTTCCTCCCTGGTCTGTCTGATTTTGGCTAGGGTGCTCGAAAAAATGGGTCTTCCCGAATCAGCTGGTGAGGTGTGGTGGTGACCCGTGCGCCAAGACATTGGAAATGCTTTGTAGTCAACCACGGTCAACAGAGTCAATTCTAGGACTTGGCGGGTCAAAACTTCCGCAAAGCAGCCACAGATTTCGATTGCTGGATTCAACCATCCAACTGTTAGGGCAGAAGCTGGTGTCCCGACCTCATGTTTGTGCCCTAAATCGCGATGACTTGCAGGAAATGATTGTGTATGGCCAGTTCTACTTGCCCTTGAGCGCGGTGTATTGGATCATGAAGAAGGATGAGTTTCGCACCACCGTGAAACTCAAAGCGATCGGCTCCATTCCCACCGTAATGGAGTCATAGTCATAGCATGTCATAGCGACATGCCATTACACTTACCCTCTGGTAAACTAACATAGCTATGGAAAGATCCACCATTTTTAATGGGAAAAACCACTGTAAATGGCCATTTTCAATAGCTATGTTAAATTACCAGAGGGTACATTACATGTTTAGAGGGATTGGAACAAGATCAACCAGCTGTTGTTTGCTGCGAGGGTGTTAGGTGTGTTTTTTCAACATTGGAGACCCTGAATTTGCCCAGAGGCACCATTTGGAATGGTTCTGTAGCATGCAGGGACTTAGATGCACAGCGCATGGCAGGAGTGGATAGCTGAAGACCGACGTTCGGGCACCCCACTGCCCACGAGCAGACCGCCGTTCGGGAAGCGATTGCAGTGAAACCGATGGTTGGAGCTTTTACCTCTGCCTGCCTCGTGCCTCGTGCGCTGGAGAAAAAGGCATTCATGGAACAGGAGTGTCCAGTTTGTTTGCTGATGTTTGTTGTTTTGATTGAGAGTGGGTAGTGCAAGTGAAGTGAAATGGTTGAGCTCTTTTTTGCAGCCCAACTGCTAGTCACATGATGCGCACTGCAGAGGAAAGCCAATCATGACTCATGACCCCTTGTGGGCAACACGGACTTGTTTGTTGTGTGGTGCCAATGGTACCACGCAGGCAACTGCTGGTGCTGCGAGCATGTAATAAATCCTGGCAAGACAAGGCCTGACCGTCTTTTTCTTCTCAATAGATTTAGCCCGGAATGGCTATCTTTTTAGATTTTTGTTCCGTTTGTATACGTAGTTTTTTTGGGGATTTCTGGTTCCCAGCTTCTCTGCTTCTCTGCTTTTCCGTGCTTTTTTTGCTTCTCAAATTTTCTCAAACCTAAACAAACCCAAAACTCCTAAACCAACCCTAAATCAACCTGGATAACCCCCAAACCACTCCCCCCCAAAAAAAACTAAGATAGCTAAAGCAACCCTAAGTACACCCTAAATAAGTCTGAAACTCAGCCCCAAAAAACCCTAAACCAACCCTAATTAGATCCTAAACCAACCCTAAATATAAAGCCAAAACCAACCCCCAAAAACCTCAAGTCAACCCCGAATAGATCTTTAACCAAGCCTAGATATAGCCTAAGTCAATCGTAAATACACCCTACACCAACCCCAAATACCATGCAAATGAACATTTGGAGCACCAAAATGTTGCAAAAACGATGGAACACGAGAGGTTCGAACTCCAAAATGTTGCAGATACCGTTGAAATGGGAGCTTCCAGTTCCAAAACTCTGCAAAGAAAGGAAAAGCGACAGAACAGCAAATCCAAAAAAAATACCCAAACAGAAAAAAGGTGAAACAAGTAATTCCCCAACAATTCCGGACCCTTACAACAGATTGGTGAATCTGGATTTGCGGATCTTGCGGACACTCAGAATCTTGATAAACAACTTGAAGCTCATGGCATCACAGCTTGGAATGTGGATAATGTGGTCTGACACCCCTCATGCCACAGGAGAATCCTTCAAAAACCAAGCAGTTCAAGACCCGTTGACCGACTGTTCCGTGCTGATGTTCTCTTTTAGTGATATGGCTGGCATGGTGGCTTGGTTGGTTGGTCGGTCGGTTTAGCTATTTAGTTGGTTATATAGTTAGCTAGTGATTTCGTTTGTGAGTTACACACATGTATGTACATTAATTGCATTTATTTGCACCAAATTATTCTTCATATATGTATTTGTGTGTATATATATATATTATGATAATACATACATGCATATATATATGTTATAAATCACATGTATATGATCAAACATGGCAATGGCAAACCCTTTATTTATAGATGAATTCCCACTGAACTGTCAATTTTTTTGGAGGATTTCCAAGCCAGCCACGTGATTGCCAGATGGTAATTTTCCCATTACATACTTCATGAAGATCCATTAAGTATCCATTATGATCAATGATTCGTGACATCATGATTTCCCCATGGAAAATCCCGTGGAAAATCCCATGGAACATCGGAAAATCTCATGGAACATCCGAAAATCCCATGGAACATCCGAAAATCCCATCCGAAAGTCCCTTCCCATCGGAAAATCCATAAATCCCATGATTCCTCATCAATCTATTGGGGGTTCTGAAAATGTGGGATCCCCAAGTCACCATAGGTTTCAAAACTAAGTCATGATCTAATGACTTGGATCATAGAATTGGATGATGGGAAAATTTACAGGAAAACCCTATATTTGATGGTAAAAACCATGGTTTCCTGTAGATTTTCCCTTAAACCAATCCAGCGATTGGATGATAACTGGGGGTGCTCCCACGACTGCAGCCAGGCTGGTCCTCTGCTGCTGTCTGGCTGTTCCAACCGCCTGGCCAGCGAAGACGCGCAGGTCCGAGCCGTGGCACCTTGGAGATCGCGGCTTTTGGTGGGACAAAACAGCAGGGTCACCGCTTCACCCATGGAGAAAAATGATGGGTTTATGATGTTTAATCTAGAACATATTGGCTATTCAATGGGGAATTCAATGGAATTCAGATGAATTCCTCACAATCGACCAATAAAACATCTTGAATGAAAGAACCGGAAAACCCCACAAGTCAACTTCTTCCAATCATTACAAACAGGGGTTGAAGCGGTATGGAGAAGGCAGTAAAGAAAAGTTGTGTGCAAGAGTTGTGTGTGAAAGAGTTGTTGGTGGAAGAGTTATGTGTGAAGAAGAGTTGCCACACAAAAGTGACGCACATGTCACCAAATGCCACGCCTGCCATAGAAAGTGATGCACATGTCACCAAATGCCACGCCTGTCACACAAAAGACCACGAGGAAAGAGTTGTGTTTGAAAGAGTTGTGTGTGACAAAGATGTGTGTGTGTGTGACAAAGTTGTGTGTGAACTGAGTTGTGTGCGACAAAAGTTGCATGTGAAAGAGTTGTATGTGACAAAGTTGTATGTGACAAAGTTGCGTGTGAAAAGATGTGACAAAGTTGTGTGTGACAAAATTGTGTGTGTGAAAGAGTTGTATGGGACAAAGTTGTGCGTGACAAAGTTGTGTTTGAAAGAGTTGTATGTGACAAAGATGTGTGTGACAAAGTTGTGTGCGAACTGAGTCGTGTGCGACAAAAGTTGTATGTGAAAGAGTTGTATGTGACAAAGTTGCGTGTGAAAAGATGTGACAAAGTTGTGTGTTACAAAATTGTGTGTGAAAGAGTTGTATGGGACAAAGTTGTGCGTGACAAAGTTGTGTTTGAAAGAGTTGTGTGTGACAAAGTTGTGTGTGAACTGAGTTGTGTGCGACAAAAGTTGTATGTGAAAGAGTTGTATGTGACAAAGTTGTATGTGACAAAGTTGCGTGTGAAAAGATGTGACAAAGTTGTGTGTGACAAAATTGTGTGTGTGAAAGAGTTGTATGGGACAAAGTTGTGCGTGACAAAGTTGTGTTTGAAAGAGTTGTATGTGACAAAGATGTGTGTGACAAAGTTGTGTGTGAACTGAGTTGTGTGCGACAAAAGTTGTATTTGAAAGAGTTGTATGTGACAAAGTTGTATGTGACAAAGTTGCGTGTGAAAAGATGTGACAAAGTTGTGTGTGACAAAATTGTGTGTGAAAGAGTTGTATGGGACAAAGTTGTGCGTGACAAAGTTGTGTTTGAAAGAGTTGTATGTGACAAAGATGTGTGTGACAAGGTTGTTTGTGAACTGAGTTGTGTGCGACAAAAGTTGTATGTGAAAGAGTTGTATGTGACAAAGTTGTATGTGACAAAATTGTGTGTGAAAGAGCCAGGGCGGGCCGGTACGGTCGGCAGACGGGAGTGAACCTTGGATGGATACTGAATACTATCTATACTCTATACAATCTTTTGCTATTAATTGGGATATAGCGGTGTAACCAAGATTGGCCAGGCAATCGACCATGAAAGTCCAAAGTTCCGAGGCAGTTTCTGCGTTAGCAGCTTCGACCAGTAGTCGCCCAGAGGAAGAGGCAGGGGGAAAAACTTGAGTATCTGACAAGCTAGGCAGCTAGGTGGGCTTGTCCAAGAATGGGATACCACAACAGGATCAATGGTTTTTCATTATTTTATCATAATGTTCATTCATTTTCCCGGTTGAAATTGCCATTTTGTGGTTTCGCAATTTTCCCACCATTTTCAGACACACCCAAGTTTTCCTTGGATGCTACTGTGTTCACAGAGATGAACCACAGAGAGACGCTTCCTCCAAATGCTCCGCTTGCTTTTGAGGCGCACGTCCTTTTCTTTTCCAACCAACAGGTTACCCTCCGGTAATTTAACATAGCTATTGAAAATGAATTGCTGAATTTTAACCAGACCCGGACCCTAGCCCTCCCCATGGCTGCAGGACAGGGAAAGTGCTGATGCAGCGATGGCCGCAGCATTGAAGAGTTTGGAGGATGATGAAACCTTAATTATGTTTAATTTCTAAATCCCCAAATTAAAGGTTGGTTACTCAGAATTTCCATAATGGATCATGATGCTCCCAATACAGATCACTTAGATCATCTAGACCTTCCATGACCTTCCAAGGTTGCCCTGCCAGGACCTCTCTGTGGACGTGCGCCGCGTGGCCCTCCGCACCTTGGCGCACGTGGCGGCGCCGGGCAACGCTGCAGCGGTGCAAAGCGCCGCGCGGCTGCTGACGGACCGCGCTTGGCCGGTGCGCTGGGCGGCCATCGATGCCGTGGCATGGCTGGCGCAGGGCGGCAGTCCGAGCACCGTGCGCGTGGCCGTTGAAGTCTTGGCCGTTCGATTGGAAGATGTCGATTGGCCGGTGCGGATGGCTGCGGCCATTGGACTGAACAATTTGCTGCAGTTCCTGGCGGCCATTTCGGATGAGATCAAATCCGATGGCCCTGACAGCAAACTGCAAGTGGGTAAGATCGATGATGTGCTGGATCAGATGGAGTTACTTCTTGATCCCTTGTTGAAAATGCTTCAGGACCCTGCCAAAGAAGTGAAGCAGGCAGCCTTGGACCTTTTGCCCTTGGTGTGTGAAGCTCCCTTCGAGGGCTCCACCAACAGCATCCCCTCTCTGCAGCGTATCCTGGAGGATGTGTCCCTGCCGGAGCAGCTGCGAAACGCGGCGGAGGGAGTGGTGAAGATGTTGAGAGAGAGACAAGCTGTGGAGGAAACAAAAGCTGGAAGCGGGTTGTGGGGGATTTATATAACCCATTGAATATGCAACTATATTACAGTCAAGGGTCAAAGTCGTAGCGATTCTTTGCTTTTGAGTCCATACCATTGGGCGAAGCTTTTCAGGGGGGGTCGTAGCGATTGTGGCTGTGCCTATGAGATTTGCAGTGATTTGTTGAATCGTTTTAGAGGCTTTTGTGGGTCAAATCCATTTGTATATATATTATATATATATTATATTATATATCATTCACATATATATATATACATATTATATTATAATATATTACATATCATATATATTTAATATATTATATGGTTAATATATAATATAATATAATATAATATAATATAATATAATAATATAATATAATATAATATAATAATATAATATAATATAATATATAATATAATATAATATATAATATAATATATAATATAATATATAATATAATATAATATATAATATAATATGATATAATATAATATAATATAATATAATATATAATATAATAATAACAATAATAATAATAATAATTAATAATAATAATAAAGATACCTGGGGCTCATGGGTCCGGGTCCGCTGTCAAGGCAACACACCTGGGACATGTCCATTTCGTTGCGGTTATAGAAAAGCAGCATCGACTCCTTGTACTGCAGTGTAGAAGTCAGAATTTTCGTCCTCGTCGAGTGAAAAAGACACAGCTGAAGGACCATTTCGCCAAGTCCGGAGCATGACACCTTTGACAAAGTTTTCACGACGATGAAATGGGATGTTACTGTTGCATGCAAACTTTGTGACTTGAACTTTGGAAGGATAATATATAGTAGTCTTGAAACAAACTTTGCACCCGAATCCCATGATTATTTTCGATGATAAAGAATGATAAAGATCGCAATTTTGGTGTATTCATTTCATTTTGTGGTATGCAGGGTGTTTTTCAACATCTGACCTCGAGATTCGAGATTGCTGTCACTTCCTGAGGGATTGCCGGCAAGTGTCTTGCAGTCCGAATTGATGATTCATGAAGGGGGTTCCCACTGCGTGATTTGACTTGCCACTAGAAACAAACTAATAAATCTTATATATATATAGATCTCTGATGATCTGGAAGATCTGTGTGGCAACGGCGCTGCTTCCTTGATGTTGCAACCACTGGCATTGGATCAAGGCAGGATTGAATTCACGCAGGACATGAGAGAACACCCTTGCTGCGATTAGAATGCTGTTGAATCACGCAGTTGCAAATGGAGCAGAGATGAGTAGAGTATATCAAGATCCTGCACAAGATACTGGAGAAACAGATAAGACAACAAGCATCCCATAGGCACCAGACAACTGCCATTCCTTTATTCATTCACAGCCCATTCACAATTCAGAGGAGGCGATCAAAACGGTGATTGTCTAGAATCACTCTTCTTAAAGACAATGAATAATTCTTGTAACTATACTGTCTCAGACTGTATCTACAGTTTTTGATTTTCCCGTTTGATCTTAATTGACTTTGGAAATCTTCCCCTTGTCCCATGGCTGATCAGAGTGAATGCATTCGAATTGGTGTGCGGCTGCGACCGTTGGTTCCGTGTGAAGCCGGCCAGCCGCAATGCCTGAGAGTGCGTTCGGATCTGAGTTGCGGACGACTGGAGACATGGGGAACACTGGGACATTTTTCGCGGTGCGCAGCTCACCATGTTGGTTACAAGGTATATAGATACACAGAAATACTATACATACATATATATATATAGTTATATATATATATATATGTATGTTATCTCATGTTACGTATGCACTATAGAGGATGGTTTTATGGGAAGAATTGTGATTTGCAATCTATGATCTATATTCGATTGCGGGAATTTGGATGAACCAATTGTTTTAAAAATATTACTTTTTCCGGCATGTTTTAGCATGGCTCATTTTGTCTGGTGAACACTAGTGAAGACAACAGGTTCGTAGATTTGCTGGAAACCTCAGGTGACAACGTCATCATTCTTGAATCTGATGGGAATGGAAGCCGCCTGTCCAAAACAGAACATTCATGGTATGCAACAGGTGCAGTGCCCGAGCCCACGAATCAGTTTCTGCTTGGCTACTGTATATCTCGAAACAGGAAAACCATCTGAACTTCCCCATGAGCTCAATTTCGCTGGTTTTGTGTTGAAAGTACAATGTTGTTTTGGTTTGAGCTCCACGATCAAATGTTTCATAGGGGGACTTGCTTCTGTGGAAGCCGCTGTGAGGTAAAGCCCCAAGGGAATTTGCTTTCGACTACGTGATGGACAGTAGTGATGCCACATCTGGATCATTTGTAAGTCAGGAAAGGTGCTATCAGCTGATGGCTGAAAAGATGGTGGAGCACTCCCTGCAGGGGTTTAGCACTTGCTTGTTCTGCTATGGTCAAACAGGAACCGGCAAGACCACCACAATCTTAGGGAAACCGGAACCGACCTCAGAACAAGGGCTGCTGTTGCGGCTGGTGACCGACCTCTTTCAGCAGGTGAGCATCTTGGGGGAGCAGGTTCAATGCAGGGTGCAGATTGTGGAAGTGCACAATGAGAGGGTCAGAGATCTGCTGACTGAGGGGAATGACAGTCAGAATCTTAGATTTGCTGAGGTCGTATTTTTAACCATTTTAACCTTTCCATTGGTAGGTCCACCATAAATATCCAATATATCCATAAATTATAGAGAATATTCTTTGTTTTTAGGTGCCACCATGCGAACAAGAGGAATCCAGAAGTTCATGTTCATCCTCAGCTTGGGGTTTATTTGAAACATGCTGTGGATCAACCAGTGCAGTCCCTGGATGCATGCCTGGGCATCATCGAAGATGCCTCGGGCCGTCAAACAGTGGCGTCCACTGCCATGAACTCGCAATCCTCCAGAGGTGCGATAAGTGGACCCCAACAGGGTCAATTCGGGTAGATGAGGCCCAAGTGAATATTCAAAATGGTCCCAAAATGGTCCCAAACATATCCAAATAGATCATGATCTATCAATTTCTATGGGGTTCCAATCCTGAATGTTCACCCATCCCCGCCATGAGTCAAGTTGATCCAAACAGAAACGAGTAGTTTGTAGCTCCAAACAGCTCCAGCCATTTCAACAGATTTCTCACCATATTTCAATGGATTTCAATGGATTTCAAGAGATTTCCCATATTTCAACAGATGTCACAGATGTCGAGCAGATGTATCAGCCATTTCACAGGTCACACGGTGTACAAGTTGAGTGTTGAACGCCACGGCGGAGACAACACCGTGATGACCTCGGAGGTCTTCTTCGTGGACCTGGCGGGGCGTGAGAATGAACGAACCACGCGGGTCTCGGGGGAGAGACTCGTGGAGTTGAGTTTCATCAACCGAAGCTGGGCATTTTGCTGATTTTTTTTTCGTTTTTTTTTGATTTCATGGGGATTTTCATGAGGATATTGTTTTTTTCTAGGATTTCATGGGGATATACAGTAGATTTTTAGGATGTACCAAGCATATCAGGACTTTTTGTGCTTGAACTGATCCCTCTATGATATCAACCACCCGCCCAGAAACCTTGATTTTGCAATAGATCTATTTATGTGGGGATCATGGGTGGTGGTTTAGTAATTGGACGAGGGGATTAATTGGAGGGTCCTGAACAATCCAACATAAAGTCTCGCAGAAGTGCTGCGTTTTTGATGTTGTCAACTTGGAAAAATGATGAAGTCTCGTAGAATAGCAAGGTTTTCAAGCTTGCAGATAGACAGGTAGATAGATAGATAGATAGATAGATAGCTAGATAGCTAGATAGATAGATAGATAGCTAGATAGCTAGCTAGATAGATAGATAGATAGCTAGGTCGGTCGGTCGGTCGGTCGGTCGATCGAGACAGACAGACAGACAGACAGACAGACAGACAGACAGACAGACAGATAGATAGATAGATAGACAGATAGATACATAGCTAGATGGATAGATGAATAGATGGATAGATGGATAGATGGATAGATAGATAGATAGATAGCTAGATAGATAATCAGAGAAAGAGAGAGAAAGAGAGAGAAAGAGAGAGAAAGAGAGAGAAAGAGAGAGAAAGAGAGAGAAAGAGAGAGAAAGAGAGAGAAAGAGAGAGAAAGAGAGAGAAAGAGAGAGAAAGAGAGAGGAAAGAGAGAGAAAGAGAGAGAAAGAGAGAGAAAGAGAGAGAAAGAGAGAGAAAGAGAGAGAAAGAGAGAGAAAGAGAGAGAAAGAGAGAGACAGAGAGCAAAAGAGAGAGAAAGAGTGAGAGAGATCAATCACCTTTCAGTCCATCAGTGGATTCGCTCTGCCATCCGTGAGTCACAACAACCAACCTCTCCTATAGGTTTTCTATTTTTGAAACTTCCGCCACCGCCTTGTGCGGTACTACTGGTATAATTCACTTTAAGAATATAATATATTTTGATGTAGTTTAATATGATGTAATATGATTTACTTTAATATATTTTCATAAATATAGTTTATCGTAATATATGATTTACTATGATATAATATAATATAGAATATGATATGATATGACACGACATTATATGTATATATATATATATTCAAGAATATTTATATATATATAATAATAATAATAGTAATAATAATAACAATAATAGTAATAATGATGATAATACAGCCCGAGCGCTGGTTAAGAATCCGAAAGCTTGAGGCCCAGGGTCCCTCAAATTCATATTTTTAAATGCAGGCAAATTTACACCACAACAGGCTGAGGGTCCCTCAAATTCTTAGGGCATTCTTAGTTTTGTATTGCAGGCATCTGCATAGTTTGGAGCAAGCAAAAGTGAGGTAACAAGGTGGAGTTGGCAGATTTGACAAGAGGCATGCGAAAAAATGATTTTCTAGAGCCTGAAAAGTTGTTTTTTTTGCAAAGCTGGGCTGGTCTGAGTTTCATAAGGTTAGTGTGCAAAAAAAACAATTTTTTAGAACCTGATTTTTTTTTTTTGCAAAGCTGGGCTGGTCTGAGTTTCATAAGGTTAGTGTTCAAAAACAATTTTTTAGAGCCTGAAAAGTTGTTTTTTTGCCAAGCTGGGCTGGTCTGAGTTTCATAAGGTTAGTGTGCAAAAAACATTTTTTTAGAGCCTGAACAATTGTTTTTTTGCTAAGCTGGGCTGGTCTGAGTTTCATAAGGTTAGTGTGCAAAGACAATTTTTCGGAGCTTGAAAAATTGATTTTCTGCAAAGCCTCAGTTTTCTTCAAGTTATTAAAGAAAACAATATTCACGTCGCTTCGCGACGGCAACCGCCCGCACCGCATCGTTGGGCAGCCGCTCGTAACTGCCAATGATGTCGGCCATTGAGACCAAAAACATCCGAAAGTACTGATTGTCGGAAAAAAAACGCGAAGAATTTGATAGCCATGTATAGCGGACCAACGCAGTTCAAAAAATAACGAAAAACATGAAAAAACGGCGAAATTGCTGTTATTTACAGTGTTTTTGCGCGGTGAGAAGCAGAAACCACTGCAAATACCATGGTTTTTGAGGGTCAGGTGGCCAAAAACACTGTAATTTACAGTGTTTTTTTAACCAACGTCAAAAAACACTGGTATTTACGATGTTTTCATTCACACCGTAACATAAAACAGCGTAATTTACGAGGTTTTTGGAAGTTTTGAAGCTAGCCGTCAAGCATGCAGAAAACAGAAAAACACTGTAAAAACCAGTGTTTCTGCTATCACAAAACGACGAAAATCAGTCCGAAAACGGGTCCAAAAACTCAAAAATCCGCCTCCGGGCCCAGGCCACCTGCGGAACCGCAAAAAAAGATGTTGCAAACCAAAAAATTGAGGTCAAAAAGTTGAAAAACACGGGTTTTTTTCACTTTTCGCTTGCCGATTTTGGACGGGCGCGTTCACGAACAGGTGTCTTCCGTACTGTTTTTTACAGTGTTTTTTGAAGGCGAGCGTCACGACCTATCAAAAACAGGAGGTTTTGGCCGAAAAATGGGACCCCCCCCCCCAGGTAAACCTGTAACCTTTTACGAGTGCCATCCGGAAGATCACGCCCCAGCACCTTCGGTGCGGGCGGATTTCAGGTCCCCAAGTCTACCCACATATTGATTTTGTGTGGATTGGAAGCAGTCCAAGCATGCGCCAAAAAAAAATCGAGCCTGAAAAGTTGCTTTTCTGCAAAACCCGATTTCATCCCATAAGACCATATAAGGGATCACGCCGCAAAAAAAAAGAAACGCAAAGGGGAATTGCAAACCTCGCGTATAAGGAGTAACTTAAGAATTTGGCAATCCTATTCCAGGGTCCCTCAGATTCTTAAAGTCCTATGTGTTTAGTACAACTGAAAATATGTAGCCCGCCTTGGATTCGAGCCCCTCAAATTCTTATACAGTGAATTCTTGTACAATATACAATACTCAAGCTGTAATAATAATACATGCCTATATATATATATATTAAAAATAACAACACACATATATATATATACATATGTATATATATATACATATGTATATATATATATATATGTATATATATATATATATATCATATCATATCATATCATATCATATCATATCATATCATATCATATCATATCATATCACATCACATCACATCACATCACATCACATCATATCATATATGTGTATATCGTATATTTCTGTACAGGTCATTCATTCTTAATATACCACAATTTCAAGAAACACCAGACACCTGTGCTACTCAGACACACACACATATATATAGTATGACTACTGTTATTTTTATCATTATTTTTTCATTTTTATTTTTATCATTATTATTATTAGTAGTACAAATATGTTGACAGGAGCCCACTTGACCCCTAAATTTGGACGGCTAACCTCAGGTCGAATTCGTCAACACCTCCAAGACAATAGTTGTTCGGGCTCTAGGTATATGTACCAAGTTCATGCAATCTACACGTCACTTTTGATGTTCCATTCCCATACAGATGATGGGAAGATTCAGCCTCCCTCTATTTTCCAAAACCACTTTCCATGCCTAAAACATCAGAGAAATTGCATCAATGGACAAGCATAGTGTTGGGATGGCCAACCAGGAAGTCTCATGTGGCTGTCCCAATGCATCTATGCTTTGGGGAATACAGCCAGTGGACGACGAAGTAAGAGGTTGAGCAGGTTGAATGGTGAGGAAAGGCGCAGTGGGTCCTTCCGGCTCAGCAGCCTCAGAGACAGCAAGGAACTCACCCGCTCCAGCATGATTTCTGAGGATTCTGATGCCACCCCTCACCGCAGGGGCAGCAAAGCAGAGAACAACACCATGGCGAGATTTCGGAATTCCAAACTCACACTGCTGTTGGCAAAGGCCTTGAGTGGAAATTCCAAAACCTCAGTGATTTGTACCTTGAGCCCTGCCAAAGCCAATGCCGAAGAGAGCTGCACCACTTTGAACTTTGCGGCGAGCCTGAAGAGTGTGAAGGTCTTTGCCACACCTGCCACGCGAATTGACAAGGACTCTCTGATCAGTGGCTTGCAGTCTGAGTTGCAAGAATTGCGCCAGCAGCTTTCCGCAGATAATTCGGTGGAATTGTCAAGTCAACTGGAAGTAGCCAATGGCATGCTGGAGAAATATCGTGCCAGCTGGCAGCAAAAGATAAAGGAGAATCAACAGCTTCGGCAGCAATGCAGTTCTGCTTTGCAAAGGTTGGGGCTGGCACGGTCTCGAATTGCAGGGCGCTCTTTGACTCCAGATCCCTATTTGGCACTGGAGGGGAAAAAGGCACGTGAGGGGCGGCCCAGCTGCCCCCATCTTGCCAGCTACGATGATCCAGAGCGCAGTGGGCGGATGATTTTTCCGGTGACAGACAAGAGTGAGTTCAGCTTGGGATCTGCACCAGAGTGTCACTGGTTTGTGGTTTCATTTTTCTTTTAATTTTCAAGCCTCGAAAAGGGATGATCGTCCCATCTGATCATTCTTGTTTGGGGGGTTTATGGATTTTATGGGATCAAGGATGGCCAAACTCAACCACCAGGTCACTTTGTCCTTCCAGAAAGACATGGCATCGCCCCACGCTGTGCCTACCTTTGGTTGGAGGATGACCGGCTTTTCATCCGCGCCAGCAATGGCATCCCTGTGCCGCGGGTGGAGGTGAACCATCAGCGACTTGCGGTGGATGAGGCCAGGTTTTACGCCAGATCCTACCACATGGATCCACATGGAATTCTTTTTTGACACCCCGAAAAGGGATTGTTGATGATATTTGATGATATTTGATGATTGATATGATTGTTGTTGCTTTCGAGAAAATGCTGGAGCTGTAGCCATGAGGTGTTTTCCAGCTGATATCAACCAAAAAAAAATTGGGAAGAATTGGAGTCTCTCAATGAGATGCTTGGGATCTGAATCCACCAAATCTTCTGAGGTGAAGGAGCTCTTTCATGGAGATTTTTTGGTCTTTGGCAGCGCCTGCTGTTTCTTCGTTTGTTTGGACGACTTGGCCGTGTCAGATTCGCACAGGGTACGAAAGTTGCCAGCCTGGTGGGCTTTGGGGATGAAAGAGCGCACCAAGGTGATGCAAGAAATTCTGGATTCAGATGCAACATCCAAGGAGCTTCAGGTGGGGTGGCCCAAAAATACTGTAGGGATCTGTAGGGTACTCAAAAATCCAGTGGTTTGGAAAGTTTAGAACATCCAATCCTTTTTCCCAAGTCTTGAATGGATTTTGGTAGGCGATTTCTGGCACCCAGGTGGCTCTACACTACATGTCCGTTTTGCAAAGCCAGAATTTGGACAGCGAAGGCTTGCGAAATTTGGACAAGTTCTTGGGCTCTGCGAAACGAGCTGCAGAGTTGGTCTCGGAGGCATTGCTAAGACCGCAGAAAAGGTTTGAACACACCAATTTTTGATGGGTACATCATCATGAATCATATATAAATATACTATTTTCCATAGCTATGTTGAATAGCCAGAGGGTATTTTTCTTCATGAACAGGTGCTAAATTAAAAGGATGTTTTTGAAGAGTGCTAGCATTGGCAATCCAAGCATGACTGCGCTGCTGCCAGATCATGTTGATTCTCCCTGCAGGGCAATGCTTTAACGGGTGCCCTGAAGCCGTTGTCAAAACTGAAACTCGAGCTATCATCCATAGCTCCCGTGATGTTGTATGGATACGGAGACGCTTGTTTGCAACGGTGGCTTGATAAACAGTTGACAATTGGCTACCTAGATTTGAGTCGAAAAAGAACAGTGATCATCATTGATCACTTAAGCAATTCTGTCATGACTTTCCAAGCTGTATCATGCCCTAGCTGGGTTCCAAACAATATAGATGTATAGCTCAGGAAAGAGTGTACCCAGTACGTGGATTTTGCATTGGCACCTTTCTCAAACCAAGGACAACTGTGGGGTGCCAGAGCTTTGTATTCGACTTGTCAAAGACCTTCGACCAAAAATGCCTGAGGCACGTTGATGTCAATGTCTTGCCTGGAGATAGACCCGAAAGACAAGACCCTTCAATTCTGTCATTAGTCTTGTGTGATTCTGGTGAAGCAATTGCATACGGCTTAATTGCTATGGGTCAAACATCTATTACCCTTCTATTCACGCCAACTCGATATCCTAACCCATCACCAAATCGAGGTCTTTTAAGCTTTGGATCTTGATTCAACGAGATCCAACCAGGTTGAAACGGACACTAACCATCTATCTATAGATTATAATATTGTATCATATGTTGTATTATGTTGCATTTGGTTGGTTAAACAGCACACCATTTTGATACATACACACATATACAATTTACAATTATATATATAAGTATATATATATACACATATGTAATATGTAAAATACGTATATAATGTTTAAATCAATCCATATTTCTGTTGGTGGTTCATCCTGCAATCCATATTTCCCTCAGAATCCCACTTCACTTTGTAGGTGGAGACCCTTGCATTTTGGACGTTGGCACAGTTCCAGGCTGCCGTTGTTGACCTCCAACCCTATAGATGGCAATATGTGAACAAACATGGATTGTACCCTCTGGTAATGACTAACACCAAATCCACCATAGGTGCATCATCGCATCAATTGGACAAAAGCCATCAGGTTTGCTGGCTGAAACCATTTCGATTTCATATCACCGGGCTGGCACTTGCGTGAGGTGCGCCTGAGGATAATGCGTGAGCTGCACGAGAAACGGCTTCACAGTCCGGACACTTTTGCGCTGGATGCTAGGTGGGACACAACGTCTTTTGTGGGCTTTCTTGGTGACTGTTGCACTGTTGCACTGATGATTTGTTGGTGCTATCATGTCAAGCTCCTGAACAGTTTGACCGAGTTGTGCAATGTCAGGGCTGATCCTTGGGCTGAGCATGCTGTGCCCAGCTCTTCTCGTCGAAACTCGGATACCATCACTGGGCTATACTGGGCTGATGAGTTGTCTTGGGAAATTGCTCACTAAACCATGAATTCTGCACCATTCTGCATGAGTCCGAGCGTCTTGGAGCATCCGAGCGCCAAGGTATGGGGGCTTCTGAGTTGCGGGGTGATATTCACTCAGAAGCAGCGTCTCCTGGTAGCATTGGGAAGGGTGTTTCTTCAGAGAACGACTGGCGACTGGTCAATCTTGACAGCATGTGTTTCTAAAATGTCCGGAGTGATTTTCAGGGAATCAACGCGCCTCAAGAAGTCTCACAACGCCAGGAAGGTGGGCGTTGGTACCTCAAGTTTGGCCCAGGAGCGCAGTGAGATGACTCAGATCTTAGATGACCACAGTGACCACAGGGAAGGCCAGTAAGGCTAGGAAGGCAATGACTTTTGAAGCTGGCAGGATGCAGACAGGTTGTTCATCAAGCAGCTTTGCTGAATTTTCGATGTCACAGTGTCAGGGACTGCATGCTGTTTGGCATTGTGTTACACTGTTCTGTGCAATTCACCTTGTTGTACATTGCTAAGTGGTCTTGCTGGTGTGTGTGCGTGTGTGAATATTCCTTTCCACCTCCGCTTCATGTCAAGGATGGACAATCTGCTCTCTCAACAGACCTTGCATTCAACTGCAGCTGCCAAAGACGAGCGCGGTAATGGACGCACCCTTAGCGCTTGCAATGCAATGAACTACAATGAACTACAATCGTCAGCACAAGTGGGGCTGCAGATTTTGCACATGAATATTTGGATATGGGTCAAGACATGTCAAAACTGGATACCCAAAAATAGAATGCTTGGATACTAGCAAGATATCATGATATCTACAAATGGCCAAAAGCTGTGGTCCGACCTTCAATTTTGACCCTCATCTCTCAGGAGTGAAGGATATCCTGAAAGTTGGCACTCACACACCATCCAGCGGCCTTCGTCCAGTCACTGAAGGCAGTTGATTCCAGATGGTTGAATGAAGTTGAAGATGTTGAATGCTAAAAACTGGTTGAATGCAGTGTTATCTATGTATACCGTTTGTAGTAATGTATATGTTATTAATGTCTATATTTATTTGGGGCTTGGATTGGACTTTGGATCCTTAGAATCCCATAGACGGGCTACAGCAGCATTTGTGCCTCTGCTCTAGGTGCTCGGTGCGACGACAGGAGCATGAGGCGGGGATTTGAACACCGAACGAATCGCCATGCGAAGAAAAATCCTTGGGATAGCCATTGGGATAGCCATTGGGATAGCCATTGGGATAGCCATTGGGATAGCCATTGGATAATGGGATAATGGGATATCATCTTGGATGATACTTATTTAGTTTCCCTCAAATTCACCCGACCAATCTGCAAGGATTTTCAAGGCCACTAGCTTCTTGGACTGTCTGTAAACTGTCCTCGTGACAGCGACTTGAGGAGAAAGCCAACATCCGTCGCTGTGGTGGCTGAAGCAGGCTTCGAATTCATGGTGGTTTGTCTGAAAATAGGGTACCTTTAAATCCACCACCGGATAATCACCGATCCATTTAGGCTGTTTGGGGCAATACCCCATTTCTAGACAAACCATGTTTTTAATGGGTGAATCATTGAATATATTGAATAAATGGGCAATTTCCTGTCCAGTCTCGGCAGGAGAGTCACCTGTGAAGCCACGAAGCAGGTCTCTGGGACGGGGCGAGGCGGGGTAGCGGTTGCCTCGGGGACAGACATGGCAAACAAATTTGTACTGGTTGGTGGTTTGGAACATGGCTTTATTTTTCCATATATTGGGAATAATCATCCCAACTGACTTACATATTTTCAGAGGGGTTGAAACCACCAACCAGTGTAGATGAATTTCCTGTGCTCTGATCTCTTTCTGCATTTTGTTCCATCGTTGTTGAACAGACTTATCGAAAGGTCTGTGTGAAGTCATTTGGCACCAGCCAGTTTTGATGACGGCCAGAATCGGTGAAGCCGGCCCGAATACTTGAAGAATACTTGAAAGTCATGATTCATGATGATTCATGATTCATGAGTGTATTCATGAGTCATATCAGCCATATCTATCCATATCTCATCTTTGGATGAACATCCACAGCAGCCTGACAGAGGTAGATTCTTTTGCGAACAGCGATCCGCTGCTCGGTGTTCTGGGAAATATTGAAGCCATGTCCAATGGTCGATTTTACGGAATGACCAACTTGATGTTCTGGTAATCTGAATGTATGTATCTGAATCTCAATATATATATATATATATTTATTTGTTTCTCCATTGGAATGGTTTCAGGGAAAATTACAGGACCGCCCAGATGTGATGGAAAAAAAACACACACTGTAGTTTCCTGATGTTTCCTGTAGATTTTTTCCCTCAAATCATTGCATCATTGACGTAAATCATAGAGTTTTCACTGCCAGCTTTGGGGGGGTCGCCGCAGCCAAGCTGAGGCTTGCGGATGCTTCGACCAGCTTTTCATCAGGCTACCTGACAGCTGAGTTCAGCATTTCGCCGGGAATTCCTGAGGCGAGGGATGGGGATTTTTTCAAATTGGGATGATGTGAGAAATTCGCAAGAAAATGATGGCCAGTGGGGGAATGGAAAGAATAGGATGGATTGGACGACAGGATGGGAAGGATGGATGAGGATGGATAAGGATAGACAAGGAGATGCACTTGGATGACGCTCGGATGTAAAGGTGCCGACTTTTTTCGGCAACTGGCAGGCTGAATCCTACAACGTCATTGATCAGTGCCATTGCTGCAAACCTCCGGGTGGATGTCGTCCAGATACCCCCAAAATCCGTCAACATCCCACATTGAACCAGCTACAAAAAGACTAGACTATACCGCATTTTCAGGTACGCAACCACATTGCAAATATACATATATATATATATTGCAAATATGTGGTTCTATATCCCATTCAAATCTGACAAAAAAACATCATCAAACTGGCCATAGCTTTCTTATCATAGTCCACCAAAGCCAAGGTCTTGAGTCTTGAGACCGGTAAACTAAGTAAGGTAGCTATGGAAATCAGCACTTTTATCTATGTTTATTAGGCCAATCATCAAAGTAGCCTCGGGTGTCAAGGCTTGGAGATGCTTCCCCGAGCTTCTCATCTTCCAGCCACTGGGAAAGTTGATTCCTCATTCTGCGGTGCAGTTTTTGTTTTTTGCGATGGCAATAGATGGCAATAGATGGCAATAGATGGCAATAGTGAGCCACTGAACGGCCAAAGACCCAAGGTTCGTGGTCCAAGAGCTACTCTGCACGACATCTTGGAGCTGAGAAAGACAGAATACTGGGGATTCCAACTCACAGGAGCGAGGGACTTGAAAATTGAATAATTTGAGTTGCATAAATAATGCCACATATATACTATAACTGTAGTTAATTATAAAATAAGGGACTTTATAGTTATTATATATAGATACAATAATAAAGGGACTTTGATGCAGGACTTTTTCCGCAGAAGACACAAGCCCAAGCCTCTTTGTCAAACAGGATAAAACTCCCCTGAAAACATGTTGATCATTTTGGCTGGGGCATAAGTGGCTTAAGACAAACCCAAATTGGGCTAGGATCGTACGCGCTCCTGCACCGCCTGCGAGCTGGATAGCGAAAGCTGGCCTGACTCAGGTGCTTCAAGCGGGGAATTTTCGAGTTGGAGGTGTCCAAAATTGCCCAAAGCCATCCAATCATATCCAATCCAAGTCATTAAGTCATTCTTCTTTCAATCGCAAATCAGCTCTGGCAAAGCAAAGAGGGTTGGCTCTTTGTTGCGGATCACTGTTTCAGGTTCCAGGCGCATACACAGTACCTGTTCCTGATGGTGCCTGCCAGAATTTGGGTCACTTGACGATGGCGAGTTCACCTGGGACTGTCTGAAAATAAGGTACCAGTACCATCCAGTACCCCAAATCCCATGGTGTATATATTGGTGTATTGGTGATCTTCCTGTTTCCTTCTATTACAATGGCCATTATCTAAATATCACTAGCTGTCATTTCCCAAATCACGACAAGGCCACATCATATTGTTCGTGATACATCAGACTTATCCTATAATATCCGAAAAGACATGGTGCTATGGTTTTATACCCCATGATTTGGGCCATACTTTCCACGTTTTTTTCTGAACAAAGAGTCTGAACAACGCTATCCTTGCTCAGGTGGCTCGACGGGGCTCCCTTCAAGGGGGCCATCCAGCCCACGGACAGATCAACTGTGGGGCTCGAGCTCAGTCCCGGTTCCTTGGTCCGCTGCAATTATTATTGGGATGATCCCTGGGGGTCGCGAAAAATGGGCTATCTATGGCTATGTTACAATGAAATGGGGTTTCCATAAATGGAGGTACCCCAAGAAACAAATTAGATAAAATTGATGGAAAATGGGGGGGTACCCATTTTCGGAAACCTCATGCAATCTATTCACGAAAGCTAGCTTCTGCTAGCTGAAGTCCCTATTGTTTTAGCAAGGTATTGGGGGGGCTGGAATCTCCAATCGCTTGAAACTTTACACTTAAACTACCCCCCCTTCCCCCTGCTCGCTGGTTAACAAGCAGTTTGGCCGTGGCTCAATCCCCCCGGGGACACCGTCGGCATGTGGCCCACCGGCCGCAAATTCGGCAGCATTCGCATCCTCAGCATCGTTGTGTTTTCATGCCAAGTTCCCTGCCAAACTAGCTTTCGTCCCTTATCCCTGGGCCTCAAGTCCATAGAATTAAGTAGTGCTTTCTGATCTCATATGACTGGTAGACGTTGGGATACCACGTGGATGCCAGCTTTCACGGTACCGTTCAGGTTTCAACTGCGAAGGGCTCAAAGACGTGCCAGGCGCTAAGGGGAGCTAAGCTCTCCATGGGTGGATTTAACGGGATTTTATAGGGAATATAAATAATGGTAGCCAACCATGTATCATATGGGTGTCTGAGAATGGTGGATTATGGTAACACTCAATGTATTGTAAATTTATATAATTGGAGAATGGTGATGGTCGTAAACCATGGGATATGGGGGGGGGTACCCTGTAGCCAATCCTGAACTGGCGAATCGATGAACATGGAAAGTCAGAACGAAATCTCTGATGCATTCTTTCCTTTCTTGAGAGAAGGCAATCCTTTGGCAAGCTTCCCAGCCTTCCACCTTGATAGGCTTCTCTGGCAAGCACACCTGGACTGCTCACCGGAACGGTCAGTGCTTCTTGGAACGCAAATGTGTTGGCAACCACCGGGAATCACCGGGAGCCAGGGTGGTGCACGGCAAACCCGGCTTACCCCGATAACCATGGCATGTTGAGCTCATTTCGTCCAAGGTCCAGGATTGGGACTCTACACTGGAGCCTCCTGAGAATCCCTTCGAGAACACCAAGCCGCTTGTAAAGCAGAGCAAT